CTCCCCCTCCCTCCCAGGCTTGAGAGTGAGCCCCCGCGGGCCGCACAGCGAGCCCCCGCGGGCCGTATGTTGTGCAGGCCTGTACTAGACCATCCTTCCTCTCACCTGTGCACTCCTACTTTCATCTGGGTGACAGTAACTGGCAGGACCCTCCCCCTGGATACTTCCCTCTGCCTTTCCAGAGACCCTCCTCCGACAGCCACTCCAGAGCCCAGCCATGTCCCCCCGACCCCACCGGAGGCCTCACCTCCTTGCTAACACTTGTCTCCAGCCGGTCGCTTTTCAGGCTCTTCTGGAGCCTCTCCTGTCTGTCCATGTGGGTGCTGAGGTAATCGGGGGCTGCTGCCAGCTGCACCATGCTGGAGGGGAAGAGGCCGGAGCGGCCGCCAACGGAGCCGAACTGCCAGCCTGCCAGAGGTGGGTGAAGAGAGGGACAGGTCGCTACCAAGGAGCATGACAGCATCAGGCAAAGAGCAAGGAGGGGTTGTGCTTCTGGCAAGCACCTCTGAGGGCTTTATAGGCAGCACAGAGCCCCACGGCCCCCCCAGAATAACATCCCTGCCATGCAGGCGCGGAAACAGGCACAGAGCAGGGACGTGTCTTGCGTGGAGTCACTCTGAGTCAGTGGCAGAGCTGGGCAGGAGGGCGTGGAGGGGAGCTCTCCTCCCCTGCTCTAACTCCTAGACCGCTCTTCTCATGCTGTGCCAGGCCGTTGCATGCCCCCACCCGCTTAGCTCCCTCCAGATGGTGGCAGGTGATGCTGGGAAGGGCACTAGAGGATCTCCCTGATACCCCGTTGGCTGGGGCTGGGAGGAGGACGTGGGGGTCTGCTGGTTCTGATGTTAGGCAGGGGCAGTCCCAGTGTCCGGGTTACAGCCCTCCTCTTGCCTGGGTCTGTTTCCCGGCAACGCCATGTTGCATAGCAGAACGCCCCCTGCATGGCAGGTGGAACGTCTGGGACGATGGGCCTCTGGGCACTGCCACTGGGGGTCGATTCCCATCCTGCCCAGCTCGGATCCATGCTCTCACCTGGCTCCAGCCCCTGCATGGGCAGTAACTGGATGAGGTCGCCCTTTTTGAAGCTCAAGAGGCTCTTGTCATCCGTGACGTAGCTGCGCAGAGCAATGACGTAGCTGGAGTCCTGTGGGGGAAGGGGACAGTGAGGGGGCTGCTGCCTGTCTCTCTGGTTCCTGTGACTGACGAGTCCTCGTACGGCACGTTGCCCTGCCAGGCCCACACGCGCTCACCGCCGCATCTCAGCCGCTCCCTCACCTGCTTCAGCTCCTGGAGGAAAAGCTCCACCATGGCCTTGACCTGCCGAGCCTTCGCCGAGTGCAGGATCAGCTGCTCGTTCTTCAGGGAGAACTCCAGGCTGCCACTGCCTCTCAGCTCCACCGACAGCACCTCTGCAAAACTGAAAAGGGCCGAGCACGCTCCAGCCACCAGCACCGGGGTGGGGGGCCGGGGACGCCCCCAACACTCCTATCACTGGGGCGACCAATGACAGGAAGGGCTGTTCAGTGTTTCACTAGCATCACAATCCCTTGTGCAACTGCCCCCGGGAGAACAGACCTGGCATTGGCACTCTCACCTTGCAAACGAAACACAAGGCCGGGTAGGAGGGGAAACTAAACAATTGATGAGACCAGCCCACAAAAATTACCCCAGAAGGGCTGAGCGACACTCTCCAAATGGCAGTGCGTAGGCAGGGAAGCTGTCGCCCCTTCTGAACAGAGACCCTCCGCTGGCATCACCCATCTGTCTCCGGCTCAAGGGGCAGAGCTCCACACGCCGACGCAGCAAAGCACGTTCTACACGTCACCATCACAGCATGGAACTGCCCGACAGCCCAACAGCGAGGGAACAGACCCGCCCTCCTGCCCTGCAAGAACCACCCCCTGCAAATTTAAGTCCTGCAGCTGGCTCTCCCTGAACCCACCTCTGGGCCCAGCCCCTCACCTGTAGCTGCAAAGGATTTTCAGGTATTCAGGGCTGAAGCTGGCTGCTTTTGCCATCTTCAGCAGCCGGAATCCCCGGTGAGAAACCCCAAGGAGCTGGACGTCACTTCCTCTTTCCCCCTGAAAGAAAAATCCACCCACAGGTGGGTCCTGACCACGGGCCCCTGGCAGAGAACTTAGCATGGGCCCCGTCTGAAAGGATACACCTGGGGAGACCTTTTCTCCGATAGATAAAGATGACAAGGTGCTGCCAGCCCCTGAATGCAGCACTCTGGTGACATTTCTACACCAGTCTGACAACCAACGGGCACAGCAGATAGGCAGAGACCGAGGGACAGGAGTCCGTGAGAGCTAAGTAGGCCAAGGGACGGACGGGGGCATGCTGGGGGAATTGACTCGTAGCCAAGGAGAGCATGGCAGGTGCCAAGCATAAAGCCAAGACAGAGGGGGAGATATGAGAATCGGAGGGGGACGGACAGATAGACAAGGAGAAGAGACAGGAGAGGGAAAGCAAGACACAGACAAGGGAAAAGGGCGGATAGGGAGAGCATATGACAGATGGATGGGAAGGGACGCAAAATGGGCCAGAGCTGCAGAATCTGGGTTTTTAATACCCCACAGTGTAGGGTGTTTGGAAATGGGGGTTATATACAGGAAGGGGCCAGGGTCACATGTTGAGCTGGGCCTGTGTTTGAAATTTGATTCCCCCACTATCCCAAAGCTTGGGCGGAGGGAGGGGGAGGAGATGCTGATCTGGGGTTTGGAGAAGAGAGAGACAGACTTACCTTAACTGGGAAGAGCCGGGAGAAATAGTTGGCCCAGTTATCCCGAGCAGCCACCACAATCCTCTTCTTTATCCCGTCCTCTACAATGGAGATGGCATCCGTGCCGACCTGGAACTCTGCTGCCAGGAACAGAAAGCAGAAGCTCCGTCACCGAAGGTAGGGATGGCCCAGCCTCTCCGCTGGGAGTTCACATACTGATTGTGCTCAGGTAGCGAGGGGCCCCTACCAACACTTTCCAACTTGGAAGCCTTCAGAAATTGGACTCCAGAGGTGAATTTTGCAGCTAGAGCCCATCTCTACCCAAAAGCCACCACAATGGGACCACTTGGTCCCTGGCTCTCCAATCAGCCCTATTCCCAGCCACGGTGGGAGGGGCTGGCCCTGAATATCAGGACACCCTTGTCTGGGCCAGTGGAGCTGGTCCTTCCCCACAGTTAGAACTTCTCCTGCCTCTTCCCTGCACAGCTAACTTCCTGCTGCCTGCTGGAGCCTCTTTCTGACGAAGGAAGCCCCCTGTGTCTGAACGTGCCCTCTTCAAAGTAATATCCAGCCCATATGGCGTGTCATTGCAGCCCCCTTCCCACCAGCACAATCCCCAAAGCCAAGCCACCTCTGCTGGCTTGGCAGGCACTGGGACAAGGACACTCCAGTGCAGTTCAGCACAGACCCGTGTGACTCGTCCCCTCAAAGCCCGCTCCAGCCAATGAAACTCCCATTGAGGCAATGGGGTTAGTGGATGCAGCCTGGGGCCAGGAGGCAGGAGCGCCAAACTTCTAATCAGTCTCTGCCTCCAACTCATGATGCAGCCTAGGGCAACTCTATGTCACTGCTCTGTGCCTCAGTTTACAATGGGACTAAAATGTCTCTGAGTCACAGAGCCGCCAAGAGGATTAGTTAATGTTCCCAGGGTGCTTTGCAGATACAAACGCTGCAGGCTTAATGCCAGCACAACTCCTGCTCCGTGCAGCATCACCCACGCCAAGTTCTTCCGTGTAACCCGCTCATTGACAGCTCCTGCTAGGAGTTCTGCATCCCCGCCATGGGGAAGAACCGAGCCACCGGTTACCCAATAAGTCTTTCATCTTGCGCCTCTCCTCCTTGGAGATCCGGATGCAGGACTCCGAGTAAGTGTCTTGCATGATCTGCAAAGGAACAAAGCAGATGGGATTCCATTGGAGATGCCTCCAAACACATCAGCCCAGTGGAGTCTCTGAAGCTGCATGTCAACTAGAGACTCAGGGAGGAGAGAGCAGGTGCATGGCTTGGACAGATACAGGGGAGGGACTAATGGGTCGTTGATGAAGATGAGGCGGCAGCATGTTGGAGAGATTAGTGAACGGAGAGGATGGAATGGGACACACACACACTTACCTGCTCACACAGCAGGTTCAAGCAATACGGGTGACTGAAGTTTTCTTTGGGGTAAAACACCTGCAGCCAACACAATGAAAACATGGCGTATGTTAGACTTGTAACAACAGGCTCTCCCGTGGGAACTGTTTTGTGATCCAGCTGTCCTACCACCAGACAAAGGGTCAACCTCCGACCGTACACTGGAGACAAAGACAGCAGCGCTGGGGGAAGAGAGCTAGAGGAGAAGAGAGTCATCACCAAAGCAGTAGAGCAGTGGGAGAAGCCTGGCTGTGTCAGCGTGTGCTCAGCTGCCAAACACACTCGTGATAATTAAGGAAATCAGAGGGCTCCGGAGGATCAGTCAATCCACGTGGGCTCTCCTAGGTACCATGCTGGCTAGGGCTGGGAGGAGGCAGTAGGTGTTTGTTGGTTCCAATACTGACCTGGGACTGTCCCAATGCCCTGCCTGCAGCTCTGCAAGAGCCCTATCCCTCCTCTTGTGTGGGTCTATTTCCCAGAGACGCTGTGTTACAAAGTGGAACACCCCCTACGTGGCAGGTGGGACGTCCGGGATCCAGGAAGAAAGAGGTAGCTTACAGAAATAGGTCGCTTATATGTGCTTTTCCTCCATCGCTCACACTTTACAAAGGTGGGCAACCACACATGGGGAAACGGAGGCATAGAAAGTGGCAGTGATTTGCCCAGGGACACACAGCAAGCGGGGAACAAGGGATCTGGGTCCTGACTCCCAGTTCAGTGCCTTCCCTACCCACTGGCTCATGCTGGGCATACCATTTGCAGCTGGCTTTGTACTGTCTCCAGCACAGATGGGGCACAAGGCAAAGCAAGGTTTCCCTACGGCTGCAGATGGTGGGGGGTGACTGCCCCCCTCCCTTCCACAGCTGGCGCACATCCTTGCAGTGGGAGCACAGACCATACCTCTTTGCGGAGGAAGATTTTCCAGGGTGTGGTGGCATATGAGAAGCTGACGCTGGCAGTGAGCTTGTAGAGCTGCGTCTTGATGCCGGCATCTTCTTCCGCCATTGTCCAAGCAGAGCCTAGATGGAGGAAAGGACAGTCAGGGGAGCTCTGGGGCACCATGGGAATGCTGTGTCCCCAGCCAAAGACTCGCCAGGACAGGAAGGCGGTGCTGCATCGTCTCAAAAGGCTACATTTTCAGAAATCAGTGACCAGCCTGTGCTCACTAAACACGTGACCGCATGCATAAAATGGATAATGGCATGACTAATCAGGCATGCCTGGCAATGTTTATACACGGTGTTACATATGCAAAGTCCATTCCAGGGGGAGAAATAAGGAACTTGAGAGTTCCAGATGGAACAGCTGCCCTCTTATCCTTCCACATCGGAATATGGCCTCACTTTATGCCATTATAAAATGATTGTCAATTGATCTAATAGAAACTCTTATACAATCTTACAGACAGTGAGTTACCAGTATGCCATGTAGAGTCTTCACACTTGGCTTGATTTTTAATTCTCCAGGAGATCGACTAAACAATCTAGGTTTGAAGACAATCAGCTGGGCAGTTTTAAAGTTATGAATGTTTATATCTAAATGGTCTCAACTTTGACACCTCAGAGTTTGGAGACGGCCCACAGACTAAAGATATCCCAAGGTTAAGACTCCCGTTATATTCAGTTAGGCATTTTCAAATTGCTTGGTTTGCCTGGACATTCCTGCATTTTTAGAATGGGTGGGAGAGCCAGGAGAGGCAGTATTCTACAATAGTGTAATTTCTGCCGCATGATAATTGCCAAGCAAGAAGAGGGTGCAATACAAATGGAGTGTTTATTTGCAGTAACAATAGCGCTTTGCACATCATTAGCACTCTCCCCCCTTGAGGCCTGCAAAGCACTTGATGACTATTTATGAATGAATGGCTCCTGTTGTAAATCAAGGCAAAAGTCCCATAGAATTTAATGGGCACATCCCAACTCCTCTGCAAGGTAAGGATCGGCTCCATTTTATAGACTGACAGAGAGTCCACACAGCAAGCAAGACTATGTCTACACTACGGGGACTATAATGGCATAGCTATGGCACTATGGCCCCGTAGCACAGATGGAGCCTGCAGCGATGGAAGGAGTTTTTCCCACCTCCCCAGGCAACTGCAGCTAGATTGATGGAAACATTCTTCCATCTAGCTGTGTCTACACCAGGGGCTCAGTCGACATGGCTATAGTGCTCAGCAGTGTGGATTTTTCAGACCCCTGAGCACTGTAGCTATGTCGACCGCAGTTTTAAGTGCAGCCCAGGCCTAAATGGCAGAGCCAGGAATAGAGCCCGGATCTGTGTCCGAGGCCTATGCTCTAACCACTCAACAACGCTGCCTCTCAGACACGTCAGTCGATTTCTCCGAGTGCTTTGGGGTGGGCTGTGATGCAGAAGGAGCCCAGCCCCTCGGGAGGGCTTTGAAAGGCAGGATCCCTGTGCTTCACGTTCCTCACCGTTCCAAAGTCCGTCACCACTTTAATTGCAGCTTTGATAACGAGTCTCATACTGAGACTTGGCTGGACTTTGGCAGAGCTTCAGCCCAAAGGTCCTTGGCTTTTCTTAGTTGCAGTTTTAATATCCGCCCAGCCCCTCTGACGTTTCTACCCATTGCATTCCATTGCATTGCCAAGCCAATTGAGTGCTGGCCAAAGTGGCTCAGTCCACGGCACCAGATGGTGAGGCCGTTTCACCCGCAGCAGCAGCGTGAGATTCCCTGACACCGCACGACTGGGATGTCTCAATCAGAGCGGAAGGGCCAGCTCTGCGGGACGGAGACTGTTTCAGGTCCCACGGCCTGTTCACTCCTGGGCCTGTCGGCTGACAGCAGGAGACCAATTAGCACATGTGGCCACGTGCCCACTGGGAACTGGGCTAAGACCCACCAAACTCGTTCCGCACCCACCACTGAAGGGGAAGGGTGTGGAATGGAAGGGGCCCCGCTCACCTTTCGGCTCAGACTGCTGTGTGGCTTGGTCAGCAGGCGGAAGGGGTGGGGGCAGGAGTGGGGGAGGCGGAGGGACGAGGGAAGCAACAGGAGAGGTCGGCTGCTGGCCGAAGAGGTTCATGAGAGGCTGCTGCATTTTCCTGATGGATGTGGCGGTCTGGCCCTTCTTGGTGGGCGGAGGGGGCGGAGCCCCTCTGGGGCTCTTGTTCAGAGAGGAGGGCTGGGAGCAGAGAGAGAAAGCATTTTAGATATAGACACACACTGCCTCCATGGGTTCAGGGGTAGGATACTCTCTGACAGCAGCTGCAGGGGCAGCTTGCCAGGCCCTGGGGCAGGAACCACATGGACAACAATACGGAGCCCCATAAACTGGCAGCCAGGTTACACACAGACATGCGTTAATTAAAGTCAGACGTGCAGTAGGCCAGTGCTCAGCGGTGGAGCCACCCACAGCAGAGTGGAAAAGAGACATCACCTTGCCAGGATCCCCAGGGCCAAACCAGCGCCGGGCGGGCAACTCTCCCAGGTTGGTCTGTCCCTAGGTCAGCCCTGAACACATGCTGATATACAACTTGAAGTCATGACGCCGGGACCTTCCCATCCAAGGATCTCCAAGGGCTTTATCAATGAGCATTAGGACCCATAACCCATCCTACCAAGCGAGTGGTATAGCTAGAGAGGTTGGGTTACACAGCCAGCCAGTGGCAGAGTCAGGAGTGGAACCCAGGAGTCCCCTGCTCTGGTAGATTGAAAGATGTGGAAGCTGAATAGGATGGGTGCTGGTTCGGGATCGGCATGGGAAGTGCTCACTGATTTTGGGGGCTGAGGGCTCACCATCCCCAGCTTGGCCAGAGCTTCGTTCTTGGGGTCACTCTTCTTCAGGAAGGTCTTGGACGGCCTCCTGGAGGGCAAGAGGAAACAGACCTGTCCAGTTTACACACAGGGCAGCATGGTGCCAATGGAATCACACAGAGAGCTTGGGACATGATTCCTCCCCTTCCCTGCCTGCCCCGCCCTCTCACCTGACAGGCTCGATGGGCTGTGGCTCCGGGGCTGGCCGGCTCTGGTACATCTTAATGATGTTGCGGATCTCCCGGCTGGGCTCTCTCTTTGGCACCAGGTCTGCAGCCACCACAGGGCACGGCTTCTTCTTTGCTTTCTTCTCTTGCACTTTCTGCTTTGGCGCGGGAGGTGGCGAGGGAGGTGCTGGAGCTGCAGGACAGGAGGGCATTTACCAATGGAGCCGGTGAGCAGCACAAGAGAAACCCCCTCTCTGCACTAAAAGCTACCTCCTGTTCCCCTCAGGGGCTTCACGGTCCTGGGAGCTCCATCACTCTTTCCCAGCTACCCCTGTTCCCCAAAGCCCATGGCCTTGTCCTCCCTAATCCGCTGCTTCAGTCCAGGCCTGGACTGCAAGAGGCTGAACAGGGCAGTCACAGAACCAACCAACCAACACTCGTGCAACCCTGCACGACTGTGCAGGAGATCAAGGCTGGGTTCACAGCTGCTCAAAGCTGGAGTGGGGCAGGGAGGGAGGGACAGACATCTGTGTGTTGCACAGTGGCCTCCGGAGGAGCGCTAAAGGGGTTCCCCATTCAGGACTCCCAGATCAGAAGGATGGCTGCCCATAACTTGCCCTGTCACCGGCAGCTGCAGGAGGCCCCAGCGGCAGTGGGACCAGCATGGGGGGAGAGCAGGATTTCTGGCATCTGCACCCTGCATAGTCAGGAGGGGTGGGACCACCAGCACACAGTTCCCGGGGCCTCACTGCTGCTCCATGGGCTGCAAGGAGGAGTCACATGGGGTTTGGGGGAGAGCTTGGGCAAGGGACAGTAGGATCCTCAGACTCTGTAGAGTCCAAGGGAGCAGAGTCCTGTACAGGCGCTCAGCCCCCTTAGGATCTGGCCCTGCATTGGGAGAGCTCTCCACCTGCCAGCGTCTCACACCCTCCTCAGCGCACGGCCTCACCGGTCTCTGGTTCTGGGCTGGACCTCTCTTCCTCCTGCTGTGGATTTCTTGGAGGGGTCCAGCTCTTGGAAGGGGGCCTGACTTTCTTCACCTGGATTTTTTGCTGTCCTGAAAGGAGAGGCGGTTCGGGGGTGAGCACAGAACAGGCAAGGTCTTTCTGGGCCTGGTGGTGCCGGGCCCTATGCTTGCCACCCTGCTGCTGGAGCAGGCAGAGTTCTGTGTTAAAGCGTCACTTGCTCTGTGTGGGGGTCACGTCCCCCGCATGACTCACACACACACCCAAACCCAACAGGAGACCCCAGGAAACCTGTGAGCCTCCCGCTCGGAACCAGAACCCAGCCCATCACGGGCCAGGCTCAGCCCCGGCTACACACGGCTCGGAATGAGTTCTGCATGTACAGCTCCCGTTCTGGGCTTCACACACACTGCTGCACCGGGAGCTGCCTCAGGAACAGGCTGGCTTACGGTTGCTAAAGCTAGGGGAGGATGGGTCCCATTTGGGGTGAGATTCATGGCCAGGCAGTGACTCACCCATTTTCTGGAAGTACTCCCGCTTCTGCTGGAAGGTGTCTCGAAAGACCGAGTCCTCATCACTGTCTGTCAGCTGTTCTTCCGGGTAGTCATGGATCTACAACACCCGCCCCCCACAACAAGCCCAGTTAGGACTGTTGATGGACAGACATACAGCATGGGGCATTTACCACTGTCCTGACTGACCACGTAATCCCCTTAGTGCCTCCCTATCTCTCTCTTAAACACACAGATCGGGCCCAGCAGTGCAGTTCAGACACTGATCCAGATCCAGAACTTCCCCCAACTCCGGGAGCGTTTGGACTGATCCAGGTTCGGGACCCTTTTTGAAGTGTGTGTGTGTCAAGCGCTATATGAAATAGACAATAATTCCTGCTGAGCTGCACTGAGCCCTCCCCTCACACACACACCCCTAGAGAGACCCAGCTCCCCCCACACCCCTAAGGAACCCTAATCTGAGCCCAGAACCAAGGATGGAGGCAGGAAGGAGAGCGAAGCCCCTGTCCCCACCCCCAAGGCAGGTAACTGCAGGACAAGGCAAGGGATTCAGGCCTGGTCTACACTTAAAACGTAGGTAACCCAGTTACATCACTCAGAGGTTTGAAAAATCCACACACCTGAGCGCTGAAGCTAGGAGACGCAGCTAGGTAGGCAGAAGAATGCTGCTGTCAGTGTAGCTACTGTCACCTGGGGAGGTTGTGTTACTACAGTGATGGAAAATCCCTGTCTGTCAGCGTAGGACGGCTGCGTCTACACTACAGCGTTATGCCAGCATGGCAATGGCGCCACGGCTGTGCCAGTGTAGTCCCCGTGGCACAGACATGGCCTGAGTGTTGAGACTTTTGACATTAATGTCCGTGAAACTGCAGGGTCTGCATGGACCTCAAGGCCTGATGGGAATGAACCGGCAAACCCTGCAGTTTCAGTGACGTCAATGGCAACCCACCGCCCCAGCATTTGGCCCTGCATCTTTAATCCTCTGTGAGTGAAGTTTGACAGGACTCAGCATGGTAGCTGTATACAACTCTCTGAGCGAGGTTCTCTACCACCCACTCCACCTCCGCTAGGCTACGGGAGGAACAGGGGCACTGTCACATGGAAACCCAGTTTGCTGCTGGAGACAGCCTGGCTGGTACCGGTTCTGCTGCATCAGCTGGGGGCTCTGGTGTCTTAGCTGCTGGTGCAGCATTCTTGCTGTTATTGGTTCTCTTTGGTTTAGGAGCCGGAGCTGGGGCCGGAGCTGGGGCTGAAGCTGGAGCTGGAGCTGGAGCTGGCGCTGGTGGTGGAGTCAAGGCTCGTCTTGGCCTTGAGGGCTCAGGAGACCTCCGTCGCTGCTGCTGCTGCTGCTGCTGGGAAATTGTCATGGCCTGGAGGGTCATCTGCTGAGCCTGCAAGAAGAAATCCAAGTCTCCATGACCTCTGCGTACCCACAGACTGGAGATGGAGCAAACCCTCCCCATTCTTCCCCCAGGAGGCACAGAACCACTCATCTCCTAAACAGGCCCATTCATGTAACCTTTTGGGGTTCCCCAGTGTTATGGGCTAAGGCAGGTCCAGACCCACCATGCAGGCATGTTCAAGGAACTCTGGATCCCCACCACACCATCCATGTAAAGCTCTCGGTGATGAGGTTGTTCCATCAGAGAGGGTTAACATACTGTCAGGCGCTAGGCTACGGAGTTAATACACTTTGGGCCAGATAGAAAGAGATGCTTCAGGATTTGTATCCCCAGTGACTCTCCGGTTGGCTGCTTTGAGCTTTTGGTCTAGTGCTTAGAGCTGGGAATTCCTGTGGTCTATTCCCAGCTCTGCCACTCACCCACAACGTGGCCGTGGGCAAGTCACTTATCCTCTGCGTGCCTCGGTTTCCCCTTCTGCACAATGAGGATAATAAAGGTTCCTCACTTCACAGGCTTAAGTGACCAAATCCTTACACACACACACACACACACACACACACACACACACACACACACGTACACGTTAATACCCTCAGAGGCACATGGCAGAGAAATGCAGCATGTCAGGGACAAGCTAGACTGGGCTCGGTGGGGAAGGGAATGGAGCTCAGCCCTCTCAGTGCATTCACTCTGCTGCATTCTCTTGTCAGAGAGATGTGCCCCCTCCCCCATTCCCTTCCACTCACCATGAGCAGGGCCTGCTGGTTGATAAAGGCTTGCTGTTGTGCTGCGAGCTGATTGGGATCCACAGCTGGGACCATCGGCTGGGGCGCAACCATGGCTGAGAGAGAGAGAGACGACACGATAAAGAATCACGGGGCCAATGCAGCTGCCCTCCCGGTGGGGCAGGCGAGCGCTCACGAGGGTCCCCTGCACATCAGGCTGGGGACACAGAAGTGCTCGGGGTGCAAGCGGTGAGTCTAACTCAGGGGCAAATGGAAATCAGAGCCTGAGCACGAGGTGCACAGGGCAGAACCAAGCCCACGCCAGGAGTCTACCTCTTAGCTTTCCCACCTCCAAACAAACAAGAGATTGTCCTGGGCCAGTCCAAGCTGGGTGACTATACTCTGCCTCCCGCCCTAAGCCCCTCCTGCACTTTCAATTGGATACGACACACATTTTCCATTTCCTGCTCTAAACTATCGTGTGTGGCCGTAGGGCTGCTGAACAGCCACGCTCCAACACAGAGGTGGCTGCCGCAACTCCTGTACGTGTCATTTGTAAAGTGCGTCATAGAATCAGAGAGTTCGAAGGGATTGCAAGGGTGAAAGGCCCTGTGTAAATGTACTCACTCAACACCCGCCCATTCCAAAAACTGTACCACCCCTTTTATTTACTGGGCCATTTTTGCATTTTGTTACCTGGCATGGGTGCTGGCATCATTGGCATGGGTGCTGGCATCATTCCACCCATCATTGGCATGGGTTGGTAAGCTGGTATTTGCATCATTCCAGGGTAGGCTAGGTGGAAAGATGCCACAAGGGCAACAGTCACGGTCAGCGACTCCCAAGTAGGAAAGCGCTTCCCTGCCTCAGGCAGCGCCCCAGGCAGACCTGCTACCGTTGGCGCTGCCAATGTGTACAGAGGACGGTGACATGCGATGGGGCTTCCCATCAGGCTACACAGCAACACCCAGGCAGGAGGAAACCGTCAGGAGAACTGGCCAAGCGGGAGGGGACGCCTGGCAGATGAACACACACTAACCCCACTCAACAGCATGCTCTGCACTCTGCCCTCCACCCAGCCTCACTCTGCACCCCTTGTCCTCAGGAAGCTACTGATCCCAAGAAACCAGGTCTGCAGGATTTGTGTTTACAAGGGAGAATGTCTTCAACTGATGGGCAAAGCTCTCTGGACCTGCCACATCCAGCGCATGGATAAGCCCCCACCCTGCAACGTGGCTGGACGGGCAAACAGCCCACAGCAGACACAGAACAGAGCGTCAGTACAGGATGCTGGGAAAAAATGCCCTCCCTCTCCTGGAATAAGCCCCTGCTGAGCACCAGGCTGTGAAATAGGAAGGCCGCTGTGCACAAAACTGGTAACCCTTGTGGCATCCAGGCTGTGATCACGGCTAGCAGAGAACGGGAGGGTTTCACACCCTCCCGTAGAGCCACAGAACAGTACAGACCTGCCCCATGGCCCCATTCCAACCCATTTAAAAACACCACAAGAGAGAGCCCACCTGCCTCGCTGATTTGTTAACTAGCCGTGTCTGGCAATTGGCCATGCCGCCGTGATTTGTAATAGCCACACATGCGTCCCATGGCCATGCCCCAAAGATCTCCAATAGCCACTGATTCCCCCTCACCCCCGTCTCACAGACTTGCAATAATCATTAAGCTGCCCGTATGTCTGCTTCCCATGCGTTGCAACAGCCACAGGTATTCCCACGGCAACGCTTGGCCACACCCCACTGAGATATAACCTGGACTCCAAGCCAACAAGCAAAAAAACAAGGAGAGAGAGAGAGAGAGAGAGAGAACGAGAACGAACACACCCAAACGCAAGAGCGAGAATCTGAATATGGTTCAGACTTACTAACCCTCTGAATAGCTGGGGATGATGGGGAAGGCTGGGAGGAAGCAATAAGAGAGATTAAAATCCTCCACTCAGAGGCAGCCAACATTGTGGAGCCTGTCGGGTCTGTTTAGTGCTGTGGGAGGGGCTAAGGTGGACCCGAGATACCACTGATGTGCTCATTGGGTGGGGGAGGGACGAGCCATCTCCAGGTTCAACATGGAGAAAGGCGTCAGACTCCTGGCAGGAGGAGGCATTGAGCGGTGGTGCTGTTGGTGGAAGGCCCCGGGCCAATCTGACTCTGGGAGAGGAGCATGGTGGCACCCCCTCTACACAGTAGAGGGTAGGTATAAAGGGTAGATATAAATGGTCAGTTTTCAGAATGGAGAGAGGTGAATAGCGGTGTCCCCCAGGGGTCTGTACTGGGACCAGTCCTATTCAACATATTCATAAATGATCTGGAAAAAGGGGTAAACAGTGAAGTGACAAAATTTGCAGATGATACAAAATTACTAAAGATAGTTAAGACCCAGGCAGACTGCGAAGAGCTACAAAAGGATCTCTCAAAATTGGGTGACTGGGCAACAAAATGGCAGATGAAATTTAATGTTGATAAATACAAAGTAATGCACATTGGAAAGCATAATCCCAACTATACATATAATACGATGAGGTCTAAATTAGCTGTTACCACTCAAGAAAGAGATCTTGGTGTCATTGTGGATAGTTCTCTGAAAACATCCACTCAATATGCAGCGGCAGTCAAAAAAGCAAACAGAACGCTGGGAATAATTAAGAAAGGGATAGATAATAGGACAGAAAATATCATTTTGCCTCTGTATAAATCCATGGTACGCCCACATCTTGAATACTGTGTGCAGATGTGGTCGCCCCATCTCAAAAAAGATATATTGGAATTGGAAAAGGTTCAGAAAAGGGTAACGAAAATTATTAGGGGTGTGGAACAGCTTCCGTATGAGGAGAGATGAGTAAGACTTGGACTTTTCAGCTTGGAAAAGAGACGACTAAGGGGAGATATGATTGAGGTCTATAAAATCATGACTGGTACAGAGAAAGTAGATAAGGAAGCGTTGTTTATTACTTCTCATAACACAAGAACTAGGGGTCACCAAATGAAATTAATAGGCAGCAGGTTTAAAACAAATAAAAGGAAGTATTTCTTCACACAACGCACAGTCAACCTGTGGAACTCCTTGCCAGAGGATGTTGTGAAGGCCAAGACCATAACAGGGTTCAAAAAAGAACTAGATAAATTCATGGAGGATAGGTCCATCATGGCTATTAGCCAGGATGGGCAGGACTGGTGTCCCTAGCCTGGGCTAGATGGACCTTTGGTCTGACCCAGTAGGACCGTTCTTATGTTATGTTCAGTAGCCTCCAGGGCTACTCCCCAGAGCGTTACAGCCTCCCAAGGCACACGCTGACCCAGTCCAGAACGCACTGTGAATCAGTTGAGCACGTGGCCTCACCTCATCCTAGAGACCAGCTGGCCCACACTAGCTCACACACCTCTGTGGCCCAGCAGCAGTCCCTGTCACAGCCTCTCCACATGCTGACCCGGGATGCTCACCCCTCCCCTACTGACCTGCAGAAGGAAAGGCTCCTTGCTGGGTGGGTCCAATTTTTCCACCTCCTTTCATGTGTCCAGTAAGGCTTCCTCCATTCTCCATATCCTAAGAGAGAGAGCCCAGCGTTACACGGCTCACCAGGACAGGGGTTGGGGCAGATGGACAGACAGAGTGTACAGCAGGACAGCCAGCCCCACACAGGCATGCTGGGATCACATCTCCCCATTCCACTGAGCTGAACTCCAGGGAAGGAACATACAGACTGACACAGGCAGAAGGAGGGAGAGAGGGAAGGAAAAGCAGCTGTAGGCAGACAGAGGGGAGGAAGCGACATGAGACTTACTGGCACTCTGGACCCTTGATGGAGCACTGGGTCAAAGAGGTCATCCACATAGTGCTCTAGGCCTGTGTGGGTCCTCGGGACACCTTGGACTCCGAGCCCTAGGAGCAAACAAGGGTCCAGTCACCAATTAGGTGTGGAATAGCCCCTCCCTCCCTTCCCCAGTCTTGTTACACTGGGTATGAGCCCGCCCCAACCCCCTGCCTCCCTGAATGCTGCTGACTTCGGCAGCCGGGGCACTGGGGTCTACTCTGTCTGACTCCTCGAGTGCCTGCCTCGCTCCTGGGGAGGAGCTCACCTGAGTAGGTGCTCTCAGCATCCAAGGATGGCGGCGGAAAGGAAGGAGGGAGAGATGGAGCCTGAATGCCTGGTGCAGGAGGGATGTCCCAGTCCATCCTGTCAGAGGGAAAGTCAGAGAGTTGAGAAAAGCACCAAGTGCTGGGACCATAGGCGCCGACTCCGTGGGTGCTCCGGGGCTGGAACACCCACGGCCACCCACCGGCAGCCAACCTCCCCGACCCGCCCCCCCCCTCCCCAGCTAACCTCTGCCTCCTCCCCTGAGCGCGCTGCATCCCCGCTTTTCCTCCCAGGCTTGCCACCGCGAAACAGCTGTTTCGCGGTGTAACAAGCTGTGGGAGGGAGGGGGAAGGAGTGGGAACACAGCATGTTCAGGGGAGGAGGCTGGGAAGAGACGGGGTGGGGATTTGGGGAAGGGATCGGGCGGAGACTTTGGGGAAGGGGTTGGAATGGGGCAGGACAGGAGGGGGCGGGGCAGGGGTGCAGTCAGGGCGGGGCCAGGGGCAGGGGGACACGAGCACCCACTGGCGCCAGGAGAAGTTGGTGCCTATGGCTGGGAGTGGGGATGTATGCTTGGGAAGCGGCAAGGCGCACTCACATGTCCAGAGAGGCGCTCCGGGACGGGCTCCCTTCCCACTCGGGTGTGATGGGATAGTCAGCCGAGGACAGGGAAGGGTGGCCGGCCTCCTCCATCTCTCCAATGAGATCCAGCATGAAGTCACAGCCGGGCAGGTCCCGCCACACCTCGCCTGTGAGCATGGAGACGGACCACCCTCGAGGGGCCTTATCCAAACCCCTGAGAAGGGGAGAGAGAGGGATAGGAAGAGAATGCCAGAGTCAGTGCAGAGGAACACCAGGGCCATGGGGGAGGGAGCGAGGGAGGGAGACGTGGTGAGAAGAAGAAAGAGTTCAATTTCCTTCCCCTAGCGCAGAGGTTCCCAAAGTGGGCAATACCGCCCCCTGGGGGTGCTGGAACGATCCAGGGGGGCAGTAGTAGCCTCGGGTGCAATTGGGGGGCGTTGAATAAAAATAAGGGGGTGATGGAAGCATAAAGAAAGAAGAGAATATAAGAAAATTTTGAAAAACCGTTCGTACATGTTTCATCTGTTGTGTAACATAGAGTTAAAGTTGTAGTGATTACTTTATTTTCCAAATAAATTCACAAATTATAACCGATCAGGTGTCAAGTCCGCCAACAGCTCTTAACAAGCAAGTGTTGGCAGGCGAGCGTGTCGCGCATTGTCGGGAAGTCCAGCATGCATCGGCAGGAATATGTGCGTGTAATGACTTGTTTACAATACGATACTATAAATAGGCGACATGTATGAAATCTAATTTAGATTATTTCTGAATTGTATAAAAAGCAGTTAACAATAGTGCAATAAGTGTTTAAAAATTTTTATTCATATTCGATACCTTCGATCTTTACGGATTACGGATCACATACAAAGCAAATTGTATTATTGTTGTTTCAATAAAACAGCAATTTACACGTGAGTATTTTTATACATTTTCTTACCTATCTACCGTACGTTTCTGTGTCTCTAGTGCTTACTAATAATAAAATCGTAGCAGGCTTGTGTCGGTACAGTACTATTTGAAGTGTACAGTCAATATATTTGTCATATTTTTTATTACAATATTAACGAAAACAGGGGAATGAAATCGTAAAAAAACTGTTAACTATTAAGATTTATTTATATCTATCGAATCATCTGTGTTAATTGGTAAATAAGGCGTGTGTTAATAAGGAACAATTATTTAAATAAGGGCAAACTAAATTAAAACTATTAACTGATTTTTAATTGCATATTGATTATTTTTTAAATTAATTATTTCTTGATAAATTTAGTTTGATATTTGACAATTTAATATCAAATACATATATCTAATGCTGAGCAAAGAACAAAACCCAGTTTATTAGTTTCATTAGTATTTTAGTTTGGTTGTCTTTTGCCATCTTACGCAAAAACCACTGTATACCTGATGTCGTGGGCGATATTCTAATAACACATCTTTCTTTACTATATTGTAGGACGTAGGTAGAAATATAGATACATAAAAGAACGCAAATTTGTCACTGCATCTTTCTGTTTGTTCGCTTAAAGAAGGTAGATTTCCAGGGGTCGCGCTGAGTAATTTTTTTTCTGAAAAGGGGGCAGTAGGCCAAATAAGTTTGGGAACCTCTGCCCTAGCGCCATTTTTTTCTAGTCCAGGCTGGTTATTCCTCCCCTCAGCAGACTCCACAGAGCCCCCAGCTAACCCTAACCCTCCCCCAGCATATATGGATCTCATAGCCTCTCATAGCCCCCTGTGAGGGACAGATCACCATCCCTGTTGTTCAGAGGGGAGAGTGAGACACAGAGTGATTAAGTGATTTGCCCAAGATCAGACGGAGAATCTGGCAGAGCCAGGGACTGTACCCAGATCAGCTGATTCCCATGCCCCAAGGCCATTCTTTCTCTCCCTGGGATCAACGGTCCTCCCTCTCTTCCTGCGCTCTGAGCTAGGACAGACACTGGGAGACACACAGCTCCTCCTAACTTGAGAGCATTTCACTGGGCTCTGCCAGACAGGGTTTCACCAGCCCCATCTTGCTGGCCTGCCCAAAGGCAGTGTGGCCTAGTGAATAGAACACAGGACTGGGACTCAGGAGACCTGGCTTTTATTCCTGGCTTTTCCAGTGGCTGCTGGTTGACCTCAGGTAAGTCACTTCCCATCCCTGTGCCTCAGTTTCCCCATCTTTAAAATGTGGACAATGATACTGACCTCCTTTGTAAAGTGCTTTGAGATCTATGGATGAAAAGTGCTATAAGAGATCTAGGAATCACTATTATCCTCACCACCACCACCCTTTTCAGGTTCATCATCTGCGCACACACACACACACACACACACACACACACAGCAGGCTGTATCTGCACATCAGTGTCAAAAAGGAATGCAGAAGAGAAAGTCATAGGAGGCTCCATGGCATATCCTGGAGTCCTTGACACCCCCTCCCCCCCCCCACATCCCCACATTTTAATCTCTTCCCTTCCATCCAATCCCAACCACTTCCCAAAGAACTAGAACTGTTCAGTCCAGAGAGGCTCAGGAGCCCAAGTTATTCACAGAATTCTATTCTGAAATAAGGGATGTAAACTCTCATGCTTCAGGGCAAGAGCCAACCACTAAGGGCCTGGGGTCAGGAAGAATCATTCCCTCATACTCCATAATTGTCCAGTATGGGGTTTCTTTCAACTTCCTCTGAAGCAGCTGGTGCTGGCCACATTCAGCAGGGCCGGCTCCAGGCACCAGCTTAACAAGGAGGTGCTTGGGGCGGCCAAGGGAGAGGGGCGGCACCTGCGGCAATTCGGGGGCGGCAGGTCCCTCACTCCCTCTAGGAGCGAAGGACCTGCTGCCGAACTGCCGCCGCTGATCGCGGCTTTTTTTTTTTTTTTTGCTTGGGGCGGCAGAAATGCTGGAGCCGGCCCTGACATTCAGAAGTGCGATCCTGGACTAAATGGGCCAGTCTGGCAATTCTTATGTTATTGGAGGTATAAACAGTGCGATCCCATGCACAGGCACTGGAGAGACGGAGAACAGGTGATGGTGGGAAATGCAACTATTCCAGGGATGAATGCATTACTCCTGGCCTGCAGCCCTGCCCAATGTGAACCCAAAGAACAACAGCACTCCCCCCTTGGACTGTACCTTGAACTCAGGATCCAGCCTGCGTACTGTTCCCCTGTTGTCCAGGACTCTACTTCAGCAGAGAACATCTCCTCTAGCCCAGGAAAGAGAGAGTCAGCACAAAGCCTTCCACAGAACTAAAAATGGCACAAGATGGCAGCATGCGGACAGCCCTGTTGGAGATTCTCACACACGGGCTGCTAAGGAGACTCAGAGGGGCTGAGAGCAGGTTGAGCGCTCTGCTCTCCCCGGGGGCCCTCTCTGGACTAGCACATGGCAGCTCTGTAATTATTGTGTGCTTGCCAATGCCAGGGCATTCTGGATCCCACGTGTGTAAGCTCTAATCGGTAGCCAGGTGCCTGTAGCCGCTCGCTGAGGCCTGGTTTGCAGAGGTGCCAAGCACACACTACGTTACAAAGAAAGTACATTGGAATGGAAACGTTTTGGGGGAGGGAAAAAAGCCGGGAGTGGAGGTTCAGCTAATCAGCGAGCAGCAGGGAAAGTGACTCCTGCTGAGGACACAGTGCAATGGGAAGCACGGGAAGAAGCAGATTTTGTTCTAGCTGGAGCAGGAGCAGCGAGTGACGGCTGCAGCCAGGGCACCAACTCAAACAAACTGAAACTTTGGATCAGGCTCTAGATGAGCATCCAGCCTCTGTCTCTACAACAGGCAAGACCCTGAATCTCTGACTTTGGGAGGGGTTGGGCACCAGGTTCAAACCCTCATGCTCATGCCAGCAAGTAGCACAGGTCTTGTGCCCACTTCCAGCCACGGGAAGGATTTTCTGAGCCCCCTTTCTAATTCCTGCGTCAGCAGAGGCCTCGTGGGGGTTCGAAGTTGGGGAGGGCAGGAACTAGTTACCATTATAGGTGAAGACGTCCAGCACCATCTTCCCTCTCCTCTGGTTAGCGGTCCACTCCAACAGGGTGGGAGGATGGGCACGGGAGACCTCGGGGTCCGTGTCTGTCTGCTGCATTGCCGTGAGGATCTTGCGCTGGCAAACAGCATTGTAGCCTTCCAGCCCGTAGTCTGACACGAACCTGCAAACCAGGCAGCTGCCTTTAATACGTGCTGCTCCTCTCCGGAAACAGCAATAAAAAAGGAGCCATCTCTCCCCCTTCCTTACTTCAGCAAGGGTTTCTCCAGTGCTGGTGAAGGGGTAAATGCACTCAGGAGGGCAGCCATCAGAGCATAGCCTCGCTGGCTCTGCTCTGTGTCTGGGTTCTTCCACACCTGGCTGACCACCTGACTCAGAAGCTCGTTGCGCAGGGCCGGGTTGCCCAGCCCTCGGCTGGCGATGTAGTTACCCAGGAGCACTTCCTGCCAGCTCTGGAGGTTCCTGTCCCCGATGAACCGCAGGATCTAAAAGACGCCCAATGGAAAAACAGCGAGAGGATTAAACCGAAACATTCCGACCCAAGCTCCAATTGCAGGTACCTCACATTTCCGGAGTCATCTGAACTAGGAGGATCAATTGGCCCACAGGAGCCCTCTACAAAATTCAGATCTGAATTGGGGTTCAGATTTCAGGCACCCCCAAGGTTTAGGAGAATTTGGGAGGCAGCATGTCCTGGGGATAGGGCATCAGACTGGGAGCCAGGACTCCTGAGCTATATTCCTGACTCTGCCAGTGACCTGCTGTGTGGTCTTGGGTGAGTCACCTTCCCTCTCTGGGCCACGGTTTACCTGTCTGTACAGTGAAGGAAATGATGCTCACCCAGTCGTTGTGAAGAGCTCTGAGATCTATATACTGTACTAAAAAATGCTAAGTGTTATGGAGGCATTAGTAAAAACTCCATAGTTAAGGCTGGACTGATTATTGCACTTAAAGCAGACATTTGACCTCTGGTTTGTATGAAAAACACTGCATATGTTTCCCAAAATTACAGCACTTCCTCTTTGACTATGGAATGAAGGTTCTGAGAATTCACAAGTATATCTATGAATAAGTTTAGGAATTTAAATTATTCTAAATTAGGCCCTTTAAAAAATTTTAGCACACAGACTGAGCCTCTTTGGTCTCCAACGGTAACAGAAGAGACTCTGCAAACTTCCTATATAGTTAAAACTCACTGAAATCTTGTACACAGGCAACATTTTTAAAGGGTTACAGTATTTATCCTTTTCCTCATTATTTCCACTATCCGGGAAGTTTGAAGAGTCTGTGCTGATCTGTTAATGAGATCTTTGGAGACAAAAGAAAGTTCTGATTTAGAGTGCTAAATTTCTTAATTAATTTTTAATGTAACTGAATTCCTAAAGTCATCAACAGATTTACGTGTCAATTCTCAGAACATCCATACTGTACTGAAAGAGTAAGTGCTGTAATTTTGGAGAAGATACACTGTATTTTTCATACATAACAAAGAGGCTGAATCCCTTCTTTAAACAAAAATCTCTACTCCTGTCCCCGTACAACAGCACGGCTACTGAACACCCCTCCCTAACACAGGAAAACAGACAATTCCCTCCCAGAGACAGTAGAGCGTAGGTAAAGTCACAGCTCTGCTGGTTCAGCATGGACTGTAAGACTGAGTTGCATTTTTTAAAATATATAGACTCAACCACTATTAATTAAACTATTTAGAAGGGAAGCCACAAATGCTGCAAAATGCAACATAATGGAAAGGAACAGCAGCCATGCTCAAAGTCTCCTTAAACTTTGAACCATCCAGGTGTACATATGCCTACACTGAGAGTCACTGCACAATTGTATTGCTGTAACTCCAGCCCCCCCTCACTCCACCCCTTCCCTGTGGTTTGTCATTCTCACATGTTATATCAGATCTATACAATTAGCCCCATAAAACACTTTCGGATATAAGCATTAGTACAGCCCTCCTACCCCTTCCTCTCAGGACACTTGCCTTTAAATATACCAGGTGATCCTGGCCGCTTTTCCTAACTATTTTGAGGGCCCTCTTCAAACCTCCCCACCCTGACTGACTATGCTTCCCATTGTTGGCTTTGAAAAAACACTAGTGTTTTATTTAACCAGAGTAAACATAACAAACCTCACAACAGTGCTCAGTAATCCTTCTACTTCCCACTGCTAATCTTACCGGAGCCTTCCCTTCCTGATCACAGCCCAGCTTCCCAAACCCCGCTGTGATCCTGTGCCCTCTCTCCTCCTGAGCCAGCCATGACCCTTCAATTCTCCCCTCTGGGGGAGCTTCCATTCAGGAATCCAAACCTCTGTGACTCTGTGCCCCCAGTAGCATATGTGCTTTTGATCTCCGTCCAACAACAACATGCCCCAACAGACAATTTCACTTTACTCTCACCCTATAACAACCTCTCACATCATACAGTTTAAAGTTAACGTAATCCCTTCTCCGTCCCCACTGGGTGTTGCCCCTAACCTCTTCCCTCCACACCCATTCACATACAAAACTCTCACCCAACCCAGGCTAGCTGGCCCAGCTGGAGCTGTAGGCTAAAGTGCTTTCACTCAAGCTGCCATCCTCTCTCCTTTCCTGTGTGGATGCAGGCTAAACCACTAGAGTGTTGATAGCCCTGCACTGCCTTTCCACAATTCCCCCCGTGCGCCCAGAAGGACAGACAAGTTCTCCCACCATTCACTGGGAAAGAGCCAAAGAGCGGCTCAGCTTGGTGCAGGGCTAAGAACCATGGGATATGCCCCCTGAAGCCCATGCGATGTACAGGGGTGAGCACAGCATCAGTGAGAACACAGCAACTCGCGTGTGGCTTTGCAGCACAACTGCTCCCACCCCGTTGCCCATCGCCAGCATTAACGCTGCAGTGAGGACGTATCATTAGCCAATTTACTTCCCCAGGAAAGCTCAGCTCAAATCACACCTTCCCTCCTGTCTTCCTGCTTGTTTGAATGAATTATTCTGTTTAAATTAGAATGCAAGACAGACAAGTCTGGATAAAAACATGTTCTCTCAACATTTGGACTTATTTTAAAAAACAAATTCCTAAGTGTCAATTTAAAAAGCATTTTGTATTTTGATATAGACATAAATTAACACTGTATAGAGATGAACAGTATGATTACTATCCTATGATAGTGGTCAGTGACCTTTTGTAAACACTAGCCAAATGCTTTAACCACTGACTAGTAAAACTGCTGTCATAGGCCTTTTGAGCAAGAAGATTGAAACATGAGGCAATGTCATCATATTACTTTCTCCGCCTAGCAGATGCTCAGAGGACCTGCCCATGGGCTGACAGCGAGCGAGCGACTTGCTGCATATAAATCCAGGGTCCTCCTGGCTCTCAGTTCTTTTGCTGTCACCTCTAGACCGCATGACTTTCCTTCTGGGGGTACCACTGCACTCGAGGTCCTGTGAACCCCAGCAAAGCCCCTCTGCTTCTGAAGACAGAAAGCTTCTAGAGGAGCAGAGTGCCTGCATAATGTGCCTTCATATTTCACTAATGCCCCACTACAAAGGCCAGTGGGGTTGCTTTGGGATTGTCCGATACTGTAGGCTAGCTGCACCCCCGCCCCCTGCACTCACCAGTTTGTTGATCTCCAGAGCGCGCCGCATGTCCTCGCCCTCCAGGCGGGTTAAGGGCTGCTGCAGGGGCTGTCCAAGGGCAGGGAAGTTGGGCTCCTAGGAGGTGAAAAAGGACGGAGTTCATGGCAGCGTGTCCCCCTGCTACAAGCCCTAGGAGAGAGCCGGAGTCCACAGCGGGACACTGCATTCTCCCAGCTGTGCCAGGCAAACGAGGGCAAAGAGCAGGCTGAGGAGGCATCAGACGGCTTGTCGCGGGGCTCAGTTCTTTATCAGACTCCTAGGCAGAGGCCCTAGTGACAACCCAGTGCCATAGACACAGCCCACGGGGATGTGCAGCACAGACAGCGTATGCAGCCCCTGCGGGGCTGTCTGCAGGCATGTACTGGAGCGGAGAGATGAGGAGGTTACGGAGCCCAGGAAAGTGTCCTGACAGAGAAAGTACGGGCAGGGGCCCTGGAACAATGTATATAGTGGGGCTGCTGAGAGCCATTGAACCAAACTGTAAACCCTGAATATAATGGAAAGCATTTCGAGCCGGGGGGTGGGGGTGTGTGTGGCAGTTTCAGCACCTATGAGTATGTGAGAGAGTGGGGGAGAGGCAGATCCTGGGGCAGACTGGCAGAGGCGTGGAGAGGAGGAGACAACACTGAAGGGGGTGTGGGGGTAGGGAGGTAACAAGCAGGGAGGAGGCAGGAGAGAATGGAAGGGTCCCTGTGGCTTCTGGCATCAGCAGCATCCTACCTGGAAGTGAGACCTCATGAAGACGGAGAAGGGAGAGCTATTGATGTTGGGTGGGAGGGAGAGGTCACACTTGGCCTTGACCTCCGGAGGTGAAACCTCCATGATCTGATTGGCCTGGGCATGGTGCTGACCTGTAAGAGAGAGAGAGAGAAAATGGACACAGCCTCAGGCCCATCTAGACACGGTGCCACACGCCCAGTTACCAACACACCAGAGACACCCGCACCATCGCCCAAGCCCTCCCCGAGACACCACACCCCCACACCACCATCACCCTCCCCCACCAGACACCCACAAAGTCTCCCTCCCCCAGAGGCACCTGCTCCCTCACCCAGCCCTCTGCACCACTCCCACCTGAGACACCCACACCATCTCCCCATCCTCACAGACCCCTGCCCACACACAACTGAGCAGCTTCTCTGGTCACCCTCACGCTGCCTTTTCTCTAGCTGGGGTTGGAGCAACAGAACAGGCCTCCTCAGAGAATGGACTCAAGGCTCTTTTAGAAAGGGGGAGTTAGCAGAGCAGAAAACAACACATCCAGGATTAGCTCAGTGAAGGGTGTGGACCAAACCTCTGATGCCCGCAGCAGTCCATAGGGAACGCCCCAGGCCAGGGCTCTGAAAGGGTTTCCATTCCTTCACAGGTATATAAATAATGCAGCACTGCAGAGACTCTGCTGGCAGTGTCCCAGTCGATAAATAAACCAGAGGTCACCATGAGTGAGGCAGAAGATAAGGGATTTATCGGGGCGATAGGACAACAAACGTCTCCCTGGCTGCAGAGACTTCCCCAAGCAACACGGCTTCTGCACGCCTTCGCCAGCAACGCTACTTTCCTTCCCTCCCACCTCCTCTCCCTTCGCTTTCCAAGCCAGCGCCTCCCCCACTGCCACCTCCTCTGGTTAAACCCTATTCACGCTCCAGGGGAAGCAAAAGGTTTTCCTGTCCCAGGAAAGCTTTCGAGATTTCAAAACTTTCTCATTCTGCACTGGGACGAAGTCAAGACCTTTCAAAAATGTCCATGAATTGAAAACAGAGGTGGGCAGGGAAGGGAAGTGGGGAGAGAGGGAATAGCCTATTGCCTGGTGTTCAGGGCACTCAGCCGGGATAAGGGAAAGCCAGGTTCAACCTCCTGCTCTGAATCAGGCTATTCCTGGGACGTCTCTGTCTGCCCCTCTCTCTCTCTCTGACCAGATGAAACCTTCCTGATGAAAGCTTTGTTGAAATGGATATGTTCCCCCCAAAAGGGTTTGGTTTTGATGAATCAGCATTTTCCGATGGAGGGGAAAAGGCATTTTGTCAAAACATGCCCAACCCGCACGACTCGCCACACATCTCTTTGGCCGCAATGCTTCATCATCTATATCTCCTGGGGGATGCTTCCATGGGCAAGGTGCACGGGGAACTCAGCACCGTCTGCTCATTGACAGGTGTCTTGCCCCGCTGACTAATTAATTTGTATTATGGCAGCACCTAGGAGGCCCAACTGAAATAGGGGCCCCAATATGCTAGGTGCTGTACAAAGAGACAGGCCCTGCCCCACAGAGTTCCAATCTAAATATATGAGCCATACAAGGGGAAAGAGGCACAGAGAAGGGAAATGACTTGCCCACATTCACATGGTAGGTCAGTGGCAGAGCCGGAGGGATAAACCCCCACGTCTCCGAAGCTCCAATCCAGTGCTGTATCCACTGGACAATGCTGCCTGTCTATCCCTGTATCTTGGAGGAGGCCCTTATACACATCCACCTGGGGTTATCGTGTTTACATTTCCAACACCAACAGAGCAGATACGATATAGGCGAGAGAGCGTGCCGAACACACACACATGCAAAGCCACGAATGCAAACACCGTGAGTTGGAACCGAGCGAGCGGGCTGGAGGGATTTTCTTACCTTTGGCAGAGTGCAGGAGTGCCGCAAGCTCTGCGGGGATCTCCAGCAGCCCCACGTCCTGAGGAGAGAGGGAGCAAAGAGTCAGCAATCGGGGTCACAGTAGCCAAAGAAAAATAAATTCATTTCAGGCAACACACAGGGTCAGATGGGGACAGGTGTTTTTACTCAGCCTTCAGGCTACACTGCCACTGACATCAACGACAGCGTGGCTGGAGCCAGGACTTGAGCGTTTGAGCCAACCAGAGTAATTGGGGTGTGTGCGTTCTAGAATTTTATAAAACACAAGGAATAAATAAGAGTCGCAATGAAGAGCGCACTGGAGAAAGGATGGTAAAGTAGGAGAAAAGGTCACTGCTGCTGAAAATCAAGCACTACGGGGGGAAAGATACCAAACTTATTGCATTTTGGTTACTTCTCCCAGGTCCAAGAGGTTCCTAGTTTTGCATAGATGAGACCATGGTTCTGGGTTTTTCCCCCACTGCAGCTGCTTTTTCACTATTTTGCAGCATCCAAGAGCGCTACCGTACAAATAAAAAGAAAAGTGGCCATGAAGTTAATGGAGTTAATCTGGATTTATGAGATCGTAACCTGGCCCCTAGGGTCTGTTCTCTACCTCTCTGCACCTCGCATTGACGTGTACACCTATGCAAAGTGGACACACCTTGCTACCATTTCAGAATGACACCACTTTGAACAGGTGTCATTGGGTATGTCTACACTGCAATCAGAGGTGTGAGTGCAGTATGTGTAGACATAACCGAGCTAGTTTTGATCCAGCTAACTCATGTAACACTAGCAGTGAAACCGCAACAGCCTGCCCAGGACCCTGGGTACGTACTCCAGAGGCTGGCCCATGCTGCTGCGGCTTCACTGCAATTATTATTCAAGCTAGCTAGATCAAAACTAGTCTGATTATGTCTACACGTGCTGCAGCCACACCTCTGACTGCAGCGTAGACAGACCGATGACAGTATATGGTGCAAAGCAAAGGAGAACCAGGCCCCGGGGTCCTTGCCCTGAATTTCTTATACTTATTGGGCCCGATTCTTTCTCCTCCAGTTGAGTAGTACCTTGCTAGGTCAGAAATCCCATTCATTTCAATAGGCTAGTCACTCAAGTCCAAGCCCAAACCCGTCTGATCCACAACAAGGCCTCCATAGATGTATCATATGCTTCACTGCCATCCACAACCCGAGACAACCTGACCTCAGTTTCAAGCCAGCCTGGGCTGAAGCACATTGAGCTAAAAAACCAAGCGTATCTCTAGGCTTCATGTGAGTCTGTCCCATCCTAAACCCAAAAGGAAATCAGGAGAGTGAGTAGCTGTAGGAAATGAAACCGAAGGCGGTATTTGCATAAAGTGAAAGCACCATCACAACAAAGCAAGTCCCAGGCTGGGGCCAGGCCTTGAAGAGGGGGATTGGCCTTTGCTTATTTTGCAGCAGCACCCGGGGGCTTCATGCCCCAGACAGAAGAGGGGGTGGAGCATCCCCCGGGAGTTGCTGAGCACACACAACTCTTATAGAATCATAGAATGTCAGGGTTGGAAGGGACCTCAGGAGATTCTAGTCCAACCCCTTGCTCAAAGCAGGACCAATCCCCAGACAGATTTTTGCCCCAGGTCCCTAAATGGCCCCCTTAAGGATTGAACTCACAACCCTGGGTTTAGCAGGCCAATGCTCAAACCACTGAGCTATCCCTCCCCCCTCTTTCTAATTCAGTAGCCGTTGAGAGGTCCTGCTGCCAGGGCCGTCCTTAGGCATATGCGTGGCTGCGTAGGGCACCCGAAAATTTGGGGCACCCCTGTGTCTTAGTGTCCACCCTCCCGCCTCTTCCTATCCCTGTTCTGCCCCTTCCTGCAGGCTCCCACCACAGCTGGCTGCTGCAGCCTGGTGAGGCTTCCTCCAGAGGGAATCTAGTACTTAGAAGTGAAAAAGCCTCCAGCCTGCCAGACCTATTAGTGCAACAGTGAAACTGTTAAAGAGCCATTCAAGTGGTAATGAAGCCATTTAACAGGCATTTGCCAACCCCCAGGTATATACTGTCAGTTTCTGACTTTACTGACAAAAACAGTTGTACATCGCTTCTCCGCTCTCTCTGAGCTGGGTGGTGAAAACATTATTTACTCAGAACATGTTAGTCTACAGGACCTTCGTTTAAAATTTGCTTTAAAAATATTTCATTAGTGTGTTGCTGGAGATTATAAAAATCACATCTCTAAAAAAAAATCCTTGCATAGATTTTTAGATGCACAATCTGAATATTCATCTTTAGCCTTAAATGCTTGGCTCTTCAGACATATAATTTTTTAAATAAATCCTTCAAAAGACCACCCTTATCTAAAACACACATGCAAGCCTGGGCTGCCATCGGGCACAGGGGCACCAGTTTAATAATACTGCATAGGGCCCCATAAATCCTAAGGATGGCCCTGCCTGCCGCAAACGTGGATAATTCAAGGACAGAAAAGCAGGCCAAACTTGTCCCAAAAAATTGTTCAGAGGGAATCGGTTGCCCAGTTGCATCCTCGGCCCCTCTTCACTGCCGTTGTGCAGGTGACAGGCTGACATTTCTGCTCAATCCTGCATAATTAGGGTGACCAGATGTCCCGATTTTATAGGGATAGTCCTGATATTCAAGACTTTTTTTTATATAGGCGCCTATTACCCCCCACCTTCTGTCCCAATTTTTCACCCTTTCTATCTGGTCACCCTATGCATAATCCATCACAGAACTGATAGAAACCACTCTGATTTATTGGGACATATCCCAGTATCATGCGAACACAGCAGCAGCCTAGGCATTAACCCCTTCATGGCAACAGGAAGTTGCACCTTCACCTCTGAAGTGCAGGAGCACGGCTGGAATTTTGGCACTGCAGAGGGAGACACCTGGAGGCTGCTCCTGATCATATCAGGGATCAGGCCTGATAACCAGACAACAGACAATACCCGCCTTACAGATATTATTGTTGCTAATATCTTATGATTATAAAATGTATTTTACCCCAAAGCCCTTCATCCACACTGCCTCTCTCACATCTATAGACAGACCCCTCTCCCCAGCACACACAGGAACGGTTCAGGAACGATCACGCCAATGTAGCCACCTCTGGGGTGGAATACAGGCAAACAGCAACAAAAGCAACATCATGCTTCAGTTCAAGAGAAGATGATGATACCATACCCCCTCCAAAACTGCAGGTGGAATTACCCAAGGTGGGCTTTGGCCCCTGGCTTGGGGCTGACATCCCTAACTCCAAGGAAAAATCCCACAGAATCTATAATAAAGGCAAGTGGTTGGGATTGAGGGCCCTGATTTTGCAGGTCACTCAGAAAGATTTTCAGTCCCTTAGAGCATTTGGACCCCAAATTCCATTAATTTCTAATGGGAATCCAAATCCCTTAGGCATATTTCCAAAGCTCGGCCCCAGGCATGTGGGTGCCTATATTGCTCCTCATCGATGCACATTATCCCATGGAATTGCAGCACTTCGACTCCCTTGGATGGACGGAAAAGGCTCCTCTGCCAGCTGGCTCAGTTATACACTCCCCAGCAGGGACAGACCTGCCGGATCACATCCATGAAGTGGGAACTAACTCCCTTATCTGTGTCACACTGGTGGAAACCCCAGCAGGCCCTCATAGCTGATACATCAGAGTTTATTGACCTACCATTCCTGGGGAGCTACCACCCTCCTCGCCACCTTTGGCCAGCGACTCCTCTCTCTGCCTGCTGTCCTCACGCCTCTGCTGTCAGAAGGAAAAGAAATGGCATGTGAGGGCATTTTCTGGGGTGTGCCAGGCATCTCGGAAGGGCAAATGCTCTGGATTACCAGGTACTTCTAGCTACAGTTCCTGGGGATGTGCAGTAGCTGGCCTGCCATGTCAGCTGCTGGCGTGTTAAAAGGAGAGGGTGAACACTGCATCTTCTTAGGATCTATCTACATTAGCGGGCTGAGGTTTGGCCACCGCTCTTAGCACCCGCCATGGGTCTAAGACCCCTCATTCCCAGGCTGGACGCAATCAGAAAGGAGCTTCTGCCACACGGCCTGCTCCAGACAGTCTGGCATTCACTGTCTCACGGAACACTAGTGACAGTGCCCCATTAAGCATTCAGTGACCAGAAACATGGTTCATTGCCCTCTCTCTTGGCAGCTGGAAAACCTGAATCCAGCCTGGAGAGGGCCACCCCCTGCCCCCGAGGGTGGGACAAGGAGTCAGGGGAAGCCGGGCTCCCATTCAGCTCTGCCCTTTCCCAATCTGGGGGCAGGGATATTCCACCACGTCCCACCCAATGCTACTCACCTGCCTCCTGCTCGGAGGCTGTGCGGCTGTCTCGCTCCCTCTCTCTCCTGCTTGTCTGCCGAGGACGTGTGGGGCTAGATGGGAAGGGACCAGGGCTGGGTCGGCCTGGGCTGAGAAAAGGGCAGGCGTACTAAAGTCCGCCCAGGGCAGCGCCGCAGGGGAAGGCGGGGCGGGGGGGGGGAAACTGCGGTTCCCTCAGGTGAACTTTGAGACCTTTTATTGTCGTCACTCCGGGAGGGAGCAGAGCCTTAGAAAGCAAACACGGAGGGGAGGGTATGGGAGCTTTTCTGTGGTTACGCTGGAGAGGGATTGGAGCAGAGCTGAGAACACAGGTCCTGCTCTGGGAGCACAGCACAGCCACCCATGCCTGGCCAGGCCTTACACTGCAGGGATTTTCAGTGGGTGTCCTGCAACCATCCTTCTGGCCCAGGGGGCAGCTAGATGAGTCTCTCCTATGGCTCCTTGTGAGCCCTTACGCCTGAGGAGTATGTGCTAGGCACCTCCCCTGCCTCCAATAAGAAGCTGAGGTCCCACCTTCTGCAGAATAAAACACAGCAGCAGTGGCTACTGTCTCACAGCTCTTCGGCAGCCTTCATGAAACGAGCTTGACGGTCTCATGTCTCCTCTCTGTGGATGTGTGTCCACAGCACAAATCCACAGTCACTGTAGCTGGCACTAAGGAGCCTGGCTGTTGGCAGACAGGCCCAGGATTTAAATGGCTCCATTAGCTCTCAGGGTCAGGACAGGAACACGCTGGAAGGGGCAGTGGGTGGGAAGCTTGTGTGACGGCTGCCATTTTGGCCGTCACCGGGGATTGATCTGTCGACCTCCGAGCGAAAAAAAAAGGCATGAGTCGCTACAGCTTGAGCTCAAGGCTTTGCAGTTGAGAGCTCTCATAACCTCTCACCCCCTGCGGCTCAGGCACAGCAGGGGATACCACACATCAGTGACCAGGGGGTGACGCGTGTGCGGTCTCTGCCGATGCTGAACCCAGTCTGTGGAGAGAGAACTTCAGTCTCCGGGAATCTCTCCATCGTTTGGAGCCTTCCTATCAAGATTGGGTGTTTTCTAAAAGAAATGTTCCAGCTCCACCACCAGAGACGGGCTGGATGCAAGAATTCCTAGCTGGAATCCTACAGCTTGGGTTACACAGGGGTCAGACCAGATGACCATAATGGTCCCTTCTGACTTTTAAACCTATAAATCAATCTCTCTCCTGAGAGTACCTGACTATCCCTGGGCTGGATTCCAGGAACATGATGGGAGATGGGCGGAGTCATTGTCCTCAACTCCATAAACACTTCCCCAGCTGAGATTTCCTTCTTGTACGTGGTGGTGAGACCTGGCACCAGCATGTCTCCTTCGCCCCCCAGCACCGCGTGACCCTGAGAACTGGCTTAAAACCACCCTTGTTTAAAGCCACACTGCTGTTTACAAACGCCGGCTAAAAGCAACCAGATGCCAGGTTTATTTTTGGTTTAAATTAAGCTGAGGTGACCACTGGCACCCGAGAGCCACACTTCGACGCAGCTGTTTGCTGCATCAGCTCTTTCAATCAGGCAATCTCAGTCCATGCTGAGCACGTGGCAGGCAGGGCAGCTCCACGCACTGACACCAACAGGCTTCTGCCTAAGCAGGTCTTGATCAGAAAAAAAATGTGAGCAATCGCCTCCTATTTTGGCCTGTATCACTAGACACTCCCCTGCGGTGGAATGAGGATCTCCTGTTATTAAACACTTAGCAGCCTTAACGGCACCTGCTTTGCTCTCAGTTGAGGGGCCACCTCTCAAGCCCCTCTGGGACACAACCCTGCTCAAGTCACATCTCCCACCTTCCCCAAGAGTGGGGTGCCCCCAGCCTGGGTTTCAGGCTCCTCTTCACCCAGATGACTGTACTCTAGTGATGTGAGGCTGCCACTCAGCTCACTGCTGCGGGTTAGGCCTGTTCTGCCTGGCACCCTGAATACTGAGGCCAAATAATGTTTTAAAGCTTCCTTGTATTCCCGCAGGGCCTTGTTCATAGCTTCTGCCCTCGGTCGCAGAAGGGGCTTAAGGGGACTCGCCTGTAAAGCCTCACATTGTCCACCGGGGCTCCCTGTGCAGTAAGACGAAGAGCAACCCATGTCCCCCATCTCTGCTCGCTCCCAGGCCCAGCCCCTTCATCTGCTCTGAGAGCCAAAGGCAGGTTTAACAGGCTGGAAAATGCCACTGTCTAAATCCCAGAAACTATCTAAAGAGATCACCCTGTCCCCACCCTAAGCACACCTCCACAAACTGTGTCTGCATATCCCGGAGCGTGAATGGTCCCTGCAGCGCTGCCGTGTGTGCCACATCTGCTCCTAGGCATGGTATTATTACCTGGCAGCGCTTCCGTGTCTGCACCAAGGGCCTGGAGATTAAAACTACCGTCCCAAGCTGCATCAGCATCATCTTCAGCCTCCTGTAGCGCTTCCTGAGAGCAGAGTGGGGGCAGGAGGGGAAGGGAAATTCAGCAAAACAGGCCAGCCTGTGGGCTAAGCCCAGGAGCACAGGCCCAATGCAGCTCTAGTGTAAGCAAGGCACAAGCTCAGGAACACCAGAAAAGAACAGGCTGCATTTGATTTGGCCTTCCTGGTTAGCCTGGCCTCCCCTAAACAGTTACAGCGGTGTCTGTTGGGGGGAGGGCGAAGGGCAGGGTGTGGGGGGGTTTTGGTTTTTTTTTTTTTAAACCAATATACAGACATAAGCCCTAGTGTGGATGCAGTTATACCAGCAGAACTGCTTATACCCGCATAGTTTATGCCACTTTCCCAACCTATACCAGTAGAGGCACTTTTGTATCAGTATCACTGCATGCATGGCAGGAGGGTTTCGCCAGTTTAGCTATATTCATACGACTATCAGCAAAACATCTTTAGCGTGGACAAAGCTTCAGTTTGCCATCTGTATTCATCGGGATTGAAATTCCCAAGGGAGTTAGGCACCAAATTCCCAATGTAATTCAATGAGATTTAGGCGCCTATCTCCCCAGGGCATCTTTGCAAATCCCAGCCATTGTTCCTATCCATCCCCTGACAGGCCACTACAGCACACAGGGGGATTAATAACCAGTTATGATAAAGTATCGGCCTTAGGATCAACCCTTGCACAACGCCCAAGGGGAGAGGCGAACTTTTTGGCTGTTCCTATGTGTTAGGAAGGACGAATACAGGGCACGTAAGGCCCTGTGTAGTATCACAGGACTTAGTGTCAGATTTGAAATCATTTTCCAAGCACACTGATGGGCAAACATGGTGAGAGTCCCCACACGGTGCTGGCTTGTGTGAGGGCCGCCCCCATGGCCAATACGCTGGGGATTGAACCGGGGACCACTAAAGCGAAAAGCATGAGCTGCTACAGCTTGAGCTCCATAGCCCATATCTTCTGTGGATTGACAGAGGGGGACCTGTAACACACACTCACCTGTGTGTTACACTTGCTTAAGAAACTCTGCTTCCAACTATCAAGAGCGTGAGTTTGCAACATGAGAACTGCTGTCAGGGTTGTCTCAATAATTGCACTCTGAATCTATGTTAGACCCCGGTGAGCTACATCCACATCGGTAAATGTTTGTCAAGCAGGGCCCCGCTCCTAGCATGGACAAGCACACCAGGTGGGCAATCAAGATGGACAGTGCCCATTCTGTCCCTGCATCCCCTTGCAGGTGGGGACACAGGGCTGGACTCTGAGTTACTGAATCGGCCCCCAGCAGGTGCTTATGCTTACAACTGGCTACAGAATATGAGCATTGGTGTGGCCTTTGACCTCTGACCTTGCCTGGTGCCCCCGGAAATGAGCCTGGATGACCAAGACCTTCTGCCGGAAGACCTGGAATTGCCTGCGGCTGATGAGGCCTCGGAGGTTCCGCTGGAGGGTGACAACGGCCCAGCTCTGCTTCTGGTTCCATCTTCTCTCCAGCAGCTGCTTGGCCTTCTCCTTCAGGAAGACCTAGGCAGAGCAAACAGCTGCTGACCCCCAAGAAGAGGCAGAGTCTATAATAGACACTGGTGTTTACAACCCCTTAATGTCACCCTAAACCCCCTGGAGCTATTGCCGCCAATCATAACATAGGCTACCCACTGACATGAGTCCATTGTTCTTAGATAAGGTGCCCCTGGGTCGCTATTCCAGGCCCTCTATCTATCTAGGGAGGGCTGGAATGGGGGGCTCTGGCTCAGGATTGAGGTACCTTGGGAGTGCCGAGTGCGGGGGGCCCAGCAGTGGAACACCAGGGCGTGCTGTAGGTTAGCACAGTGGTGCACACAGAAGGTAGGTGGAGGCACAGGTCAAGACTGAGATGCATTGGCTGCCCAAGGGAATCAGTGTCTACCCTACGGCTGCCTACAGCCAGCGTTGTCTTTCCCTTTCACAGGCACTAACAATCTCCAGCTAAAAGCAATAAAATAGAGGTCAAACAATAGAGACGGCCCGGGCAGGAGATCAATTCTCCCACTCATCTGTTCATGTGCAGGAGCTGAGCACCCTACTTAACATCAGCACCAAGGGGATGGACAGACAGGGCTCTGGGATCAAGACAGGGGAATCCTTAGACACCACCTTTGTTACTCCAATCTGATAGAGGTCCGAGGGGTCCCCCACCACATGCGAGAGCACCGCGGCGCATCCATCCCTCTCCTGCGAATAGCTCTGCCCTTGGCCAGTCAGGGCCCCATACCTGAAAGACAAGGAGGAAGCCCAGCATGCCCTGGATGACACCAGGAGGGTCAGGTAAGAGAACCAAGCCCAGCACTCTGGCAGCTATGGAAAATCAGGCACAAATGATCTCCCTGAGGCCTGTTGGGTACTGCTGGCAGCATATGTCATGGGGATATTTCATTAGAAACTGAACTGAGAACATTTCACAAAGGCCACCATAAAGCCATCCCTTGGAAGTGGCTTTCAGCTGCTACAAGTATGGACCCAGTCCTGCCAGCACTCAACACACATGAACAACTCCACACACTGTGTGCCATGGGATTCCCCATGTGCAGAAAGTTACTTGCGTGTGTGTGCGCGCGCACTTGCAGGTTCCGGGGCCAAGACTGGATTTGAACTCATGGCCTACTGGTGAAAGCACCCATTCTCCTATTATCAAATCCTTGTGCCACTTCCCTTCATTGACTTCCGATGTTTACCTTCCCAAACCTAGACTCTTTAGAGAGAGACATTTGGGGAGAACATATTTTGATTTGAATTATCCACCAACATCCTTTTCTTTTATTTTTCTTGCCAGGAAAGACATCAGCACTTCCCTACCTCACAGAGATGTTGTGAGGATAAATACGTTAAAGATTGTGAGGGACTCTGATATAGGGTTGCCAATTCTGGTTGGACATATTCCTGGAGTTTTCATCACACCATAATCTTGAATTAAAGATTAATCTTTAATTCCTGGAGACTCCAGGGCAATCCTGGAGGATTGGCAATCCTACTCTGATACCATAGTAATAGGAGCCAGATAAGTACCTAAGATAGACAGATCCAAACAAGCCTGAAGGAGGTAGGCCCAAGACAAATAGCCACACCCCATTGCTTGCTTCATTCCCCTTGAGCTGCCTCGAAATCCCAGCCAAAAGGAAGAGGAAGAGAAGACAAACCAAAGTACCTGACTAAGAAGTGCTGGAATGGGATGCGGATGGGGTATCCCTCCTTCCTGATGTGTATGGCCTCCAGTATCCCAGAATGCCTCAGCTGACAAGTGACATATTCCACATCAAAGACGTCGGACAGCTGTGATGTGAAGCCATGGGGAGAGGAAAGTCGGGGTGGATGGGGAAGAGGGAATGGACAGATAGAGAGGTGGACCAATAAGAACAGCCACTCCTTGTTGGTTTATCCCCCGCAAGCTTCCGTGAATCCCGTACAGCGATTTTGCCATGCTCGAGGGCGGGTGGTATGCTCTCCACATCCTGCCCCTCAGGTTTCTGGAGGCACTGATACAAGTTCCCAACAGGTGTGAAGGAGGGACCAAACGGGCAGAGGTTGTGAGAGACAGAGCAGAGCTTGTAGCTGGGACCACAGAGTAGTTGAAACTGAAATCCTGCTCCAGAGAGGGTCTGCGCAGGCAGGGCAGAGGAGACACCTCGCAATGCCGTGCCCCACTAATGGGAGTGAAGACCAGATGGCAGCAGGCCAAGTGGGGAAGACTGGAGAGCAAGGGAGTGAACTCCTCTGTCTGAAGGGGTCCCCCAAAACCTGTGGCTGCTTCTGCCACCTAAAGCAGGTGGTTTTCTTACCTTTTTCGGATTGGGCACGATGCAGCGAATGAAGAAAGTATGGCTTCTGCAGGGCAGAGGAATGGGAAAACACATTAACCTCCCAGTCCCAGAAGTGTCCTGACTTAACCCCAGTCCATTCCCAGGGCCAAGGGGAGCTCCCAAATCCCCACAGCTGCTCAGTCAGTCTCTGCCACACAAAGCCAATCCTCCTTTTCTGGTTCTGTAGCCCATTTCCAGTCCCCCCAAGCTTCCCAATCTCCCCTCAAACCAAGCCCTTATAGATTCTAGCCAGGGGTGACTCTGAGTAGGGCAGTCAGCTGGCAATGGGGACAGTGCCATCATGGTGTCGCTCACCTCCTCAGCTTGGCTGTGAGATCCTGCAGGGACTGCTGGAATCGGGACACCAGTGTAGAGGCGTGATGCTTAAGCCCTTTGCCTCCCATGGCCAACTCCCCCTGCAGTCCGTGATGTCCCTTGGCCCGCTGGAAAAGGTGGGACACCAGCTGGAAAGGAGATGGAAAAGGGAGATCAGTGAGTAACGCTCCCCTTTGTGCTATGAAATACGAGTTTCTGAAATTATTATGGTCAAAGAATGAGGACCCGGCCCCATCATCCTCCCATCCACAAGAGCAGGGCTGGGACTGTTCGTGACCAGAGTATGTTCCCACTTCGCCCATCTGCCCATGGAGTTGGTAAGGTGTATACTTTGTCTCCAATGCATTTAAAGAAGGGACTGTGGTTTCCCCTAGCTCAACGGAGCTTCTTATTGCCTAGAAGCATCAGAAACAACACTAAGGACCAACCCTGAGGGTGTGTATCAACTCCTCCAAAGCTGGCACCAGGCCACCAGGGTGAGCACAGTCAGGTGTTTGTCTCTGGGGGGAAAAGGGGTCGGGGGAGAAATATTGGAAAGGGAAGGGAAGGAGAGACAAAAAATAGGGATTTAAGAGTCTGGAAGAGGTAGTGGATAGACTGGGTTAATTCGCTGCCAACATACATCCTGGGCACTGCGACTGATCTCCCTGGGGGGCTCAGAGGGTAAGCCAGCAATGAGTTTGGCTTTAATGGGTCTATATCCATTGCTCAGTCCAGGTTTCCCAAACGGCAGTGTCAAGTTTCTTACTATTTCCCAAACTACCTCCCATCGCCTGGGTCTTTGGGCTTCCCTGAAGAAAGCCATAAAGGATCCTGCATCAGAGCAGCATAACCCAGAATGAATACTGTACCTTGAGGTGACTCTGGGAGAAAATCTCAAGGACCTCTGGGCGCAGCTGGTCGTGGTTTTTATTCAGAAACTTGTGAACCTGTGAAGCCAAACTCTGACTGATCAGAGTATAGATCATCATAGCCAGACACAAAAACCCCATCACTGACCGATGCAGCCCGGCATGCTGCAAAAGTTCCCTTCAACGAACCTTCTGACACGTCCTATAATGACTCAGAATTAGCCCAGTGTAACTTGAGAACAGTCCAGAGCTTTCCCTAAGAAGCACCCCCAAGCTCCCAACGTACTGACGCCTTATTGCCTCCATCCCTAGCTCACTGCTCAAACACTGCTCCAGCCTGGTCCCAGGAGCTTACCTGGTAGGTGACAGGACCTGCATAGTGCTGCACGGTGAAGACTGGTGAAGGCAGTTTGGGCTTGCCGTACCAAGGGCTGTTTCCATGATGGTAATGGCACTTCTGGAGGAAGGTGTGGTCAGTGGCCTGTGCAGGAGATAGACACATGCTTCACAGTGTTTTAGCCTATTCTCAGATTGTAGAGCCATTGTTAAACTGGGATTAAGGTTGTAAATACATATTAGTTCCTTAAAGGGAACCATTTTACACATTTTACACATTATGTGTGACCCACTGTTCAGCTGTGTTATACTTTGTACCTATCTCATAGAGCTGGAAGGGACCCCAAAAGGTCATCGAGTCCAGCCCCCTGCCTTCACTAGCAGGACCAAGTACTGATTTTGCCCCAGATCCCTAAGTGGCCCCCTGAAGGATTGAACTCACAACCCTGGGTTTAGCAAGCCAATGCTCAAACCACTGAACTATCCCTCCCCAACTGCTAGTGGATGGTTCACATAAGGGGGTAAGAGTCTACTATAGCTATCAGCTATTAGAGTCACTCTTTTAGTTTAAGAGGTAGCAGCTCTGTGTTTTAGTGCTAGGGTCTGGTGTTCAAACCCCACTGACAACCCATGATGGATGGGGAAAGAGGATTATCATATAAACTCTTCAAGGACAAACAACAGTAAAGTCCACCTTTGACCACGCCACGACATTTTAAGTCGGCAAAATAACTCTAGAAAATAACCACCCCACCCCACCTTTTCAAATATATTCGAAGACACCAGTCCTCATGGAGGTCTACTAAATAAAACACACTTGGAATACTTGCACCAAACTGCTTTTGAGATAGGATTTTAAAAAACAAAGTATGCCAGTTTCCAAGCAGTGAAATAGCTCAGCTTTTCCAGACTGTCTTATCTCACAAATGTCTTCTCTACTCTGTACCCACCCCCAACACACACACACACACACACACACACACAAAGGTAAACACAATCCCATTTAGCAGAATAGCAGCCCTGAAAAATTTCAGTAAAACTGGAGATGAAGAGTGAGCATCAAAATCAGGATTCGCTAGTCCCAAGTGACCTTTCTCCAAAACCCACTAATCTACTCCCCACTTCACTTGCTGTACCAAGCATGGTTGAAAGCCATGATGCGTTCTTAACCTGAGCCAATGAAGTCTGGTCATCCAGGATGCGTAAAATGCCATGGGGCTTTGCAGCAATCAGATCCAGGCATGACTCATTGTGCATCTGGGAAATGGGAATCCAGACTAGCTCCTCTTGGGTGTATTCCTCCTACGGATCAGAGGTCATCCAGCCAGCCCCGCCCACAGGCCATGAAAAGGAGATGAAATCAGGGAGTTAGCAGAGAGATCCAATTGTTAATCAGTACTGTTAGAAACTTGCATGGTAGCTCCCCCATCTTAGCCCACTGGACCCTCTTCTAAGCCTGCTAATGTTCTTTCTAATCTGTGTGGAGAGAGCTACACTAGAGCAAGAAAAGGGGGAGTGTAAGAGATACTGAGTATGGAAATTACACTGATTTCCTGCACAGAGGCAAAGCAAGGTGAAACCCCTAAGCTACCAGAACAAGCCTTAAAGTCAAAGGTGTGATCAGGGTCTCAGATCCCGACTAAGCTGCTTATAACCCTGTAAAACGGAGAAGTGCTCTAGCAGTCTCTCTCTCTCTCTCATGATCTTACTGCAGAATTAGCACAGGGTCATGAACAACGTACATAACCTCAGAGACATGCCCTGTGATGGGAGCACATTGGTATTGGACGAGAGCACCAGATCCAGTCAACCCCCTCGTTTCCTGCGAGGGAGCACCAGCCAGCTGAGACTGACTCGACTCGCTGCCATGTGTGCCATTCCCCCACCTAATGGGGAAGGTTCTATTTTACCTCTTCCTGGGCAACGACTGTCTGGCTGAAGAAAAGTTGGAGACGCTCGTTCGCAAAGTTGATGCACAGTTGCTCCAAGCTGTTCACCCCCAGATCCTGCGGACATGCGGGAAGACACATGCCTCACTCTTTTCTGTTATTAATCATCATCGTTGTCACAATAATGCCGAAGGACCAACCCCAAGAATGGGGCCCCATTGTGCGAGGCGCTGAACAAAGAGTAGGAGGCAGTCCCTGAGCCAAAGAGCTGACCTTCTCATGGAGAAGACAGACACAGGGCGAGGGAAGGGGTGAACAATGGGATGGCAGCAAACAGCATGTTAGTTCCTTGATTTTGGGGGAGGGGGCGCAGAAATTATTCAGAAAGGGATCAGCTAAACGGCAAGAAAGGGGACGGGAGAGGGGACACTGTAGGGATGGGGGGACAGGGCAGGGCAGGGCAGGGCAGAAGAGGGTCAGAGGGGCAGGTGTGGAGTAAAGTCAACGTGAAGAGGTTGTGCTGCAGTCCCTCCTGGAGGGTGTGCAGAGCTGTACAGAACATGCAGCATCAGCCTCTGCTGACTTGAGCCCATAGTCCGGCCAGCCTGTTCTTGGCAAACCCTGGTAATTAGCCTGAGAAGTACAAGTTGTCTCATTTCTGGTTTGCTCCAGGTCTTGATTAGGGCTTCGAAGTGTTACTGCAATACATTAGTAGTCTCACAATGCTTCCATTATAGGTCCTGCTTCCAGGGTCTGATCCAAAGCCCCGTGAATCAATGGGAGTCTTTCCATTGACTTCAGTGGCTGATGGGCCCTTAATCAGGTCGGGAATGGCATGAGAACAGGAAACAGGGGCACGTGGAAAACAACAACAAATTAAAAAACAAGTAAAAGAGTGTTAACCCAACAGAGTTTCAACTTCATCAGAGTGCCCAGGGATGAACGGGCACCGTCAGGTTAAAAAGCATGTTCAACAAGAAACGAGTTTCTTACTTATGTTACTGGGAACACCCAAGATGATTAAAACTCAATTTTATTCTATTTTTAAATCAAGTGCATTTGTCATCATTTGTGCTGCTTGTTTACTTTTGGTGTTTCTCTGGGCTTGGACAATGAAAGTGATCTGGCAAGTTTCATTCTCCAGCTCCCCTGCACTAGCACAACATGGCAGGGTTGGGGCTGCTAGGGAAGCGTTAAATCCAAACGATTTTCATAGGAATTTATTTCTATTGCTTCTAGGTTCTGTAAGACCTTCTTTAACCAGAACCTAAACACTGGGTTTAAATTAGTGTCTCGCTAACAGCCACACACAACTTTCTTTGTCTTTCAACTACAACACTCTCTTCGGGGCCATGCTTTTGATCTATATTTAATACAGTTTATGTCTTGTAAAGTGCCAGGTACTGTCATGACTTGGTAGAAACCGGAATAGAGGTGTAGTTTGGATTCAGTTCAAGTTTTGGATAGAGACCTGGGTTTGTGCTGATGTAATCCCAAGTTGCTTGGCCATCTGCACCCACACATGAGTGCACGCACACACACACACACACACTCACACACACACAGTGCCAAGCTAGCCCTATTATTATTTTTCTAGCACTGAAAGTACACACGGTGCTTTACAGACATTTCAAATACACAGGACCCCAAATTTTAGGGGACACTGTCTTCTCCCCCAGCCAACCCCTATGACCTCCCCCTTCTATATTAATAAATGAACCAGAAGCCCAAGCAGCCCTTTCAATAGCTCCAAGACCATACAATGTAACCAGAAAGTCACCTCAAAGCCATATATGTCGACAATGCCCAGAGTGCTGTCCATTTCCCAGGGGGCTAGCCACTCATTGATCTTCACCAGAAGCCAGTCAAAGAGCAGGGAATACAGAGCCTTGGCAATGGCATCCCTTGGGGAGGGAGAAGAGCAAAACAAGTTACCATAAAGACAACACACTGGGCTTTATCTCACCAAACTAAGACAAAGAGACAAAAGCATTGGAAGTTACCTGGCATCAATGGCGCTTTCGACAGACAAAGGGGTGAATATTCGATCATAAGACGTCACCTGTACAGAAAGAGGCACTATTTGTTATAAAAGGCTGATGGGAAATGTTTTTATCCGGAAACCCGTAAGTAATTGAGTCAACGTAACAAAGCTCTTTGCCTGGGAGATCCCGTGGATAAAGCAAGGTGAAAGTTAGAATAGAACTTTATTAATAGGTCCCTTCGTGGTCTGGGAGTCAGCTGTCAGAGATCTCAAATGAGGCCAGATTCACATGTGCACTGTGGCACACTTACTCATGTCTAGCGATACAAAGGGGTCTTACGGTAGGTGTAGATGTAATTTATGCCCACTTCGAGGTCTCTTTACACTGCCAGAGTGACGGAAAGGGGTCTTACTGTAAACAAGAATTAAACCCATCAAATCTCCCTCTACAACCCACTGCAGGAGTCACTTTCCATTGCTCTTGCTGTCAACTCCCAGAGTTTAAGCCCTCCAGGACTAGTGCCAGGTAGGGTGACCAGATTGCCTAATTTTATAGGGACAGTCCTGATATTTGGGCCTTTTCCTATTATCCAATTTTCCTATTACGCCCCCTCCCCCCATCCTATTCCTATTACCCCCCACCCGCTGTCCCGATTTTTCACATTTGCTATCTGGTTACTCTAGTGCCAGGACATTCTCATCGGAGGACCCATCCCTTCGGGAGCCTTCTCCCTCCAGCATACTGCCAGATCCTGAGTTCAATGCACTTCAGAGCCCCTGTAAGAGTTACCCCTTTGGTCAGGCTCTTGACTCAGTAATGTAGGGGATAGGGAGTGCAAGAATCTGTTGGTAAATCTCTTAAATTGGAAGGTTTGGATGTTGATGCTAATTAGCAATTGGTTTATGGATGCCAGTTCCCCCCAGATTTTAACTATAGGCACAAATATGAACTCCTTAATAAACAGGGCCTTTTTGCGGCATAATTTAGCCTGGCCAGGGGTGCAATCTGTTGCCGCATGAGCATATCCCACTGTATCTCAATCCATGGCTACTCAGGATTGCATGCAATGGGAACACGTGAGCTGCTCACATCTGCACTAGCGCAGGAGGAAGGAAGTGCGCCCTTGCACAGTCTGCTCCTGGGAATGAGGAGCAGCATTTTTGTTCTCACCTGGATAGGAGGCCTGGCTCTTCAGCTGTGACCTTCTTTGCATCACTCAGTAGGAGGCAACAGTAAAGCAGTTGCTAGCAGACACGCTGCTCAGATCCCTCTGCAGAAAGAGCACTGGGCTGGGGCACAAGCACTTTTTCTACACAATGCAACCTCAACACTGAAGTCCCTCAGGATGACGGGGAGCGAGCTGAAGGGGCCATGCGGTACTCACCGTGACTCGGTGAGTGATGGCGCTTTGGAGGAGATCTGCTGAGACATGCAGCAAATTGGCCACAATCCGGATTTCCGTGTCGCTGGGGATGGCTGCAAGGCCAAAGGATTCCTTCTAAATCATGGGGGAGAAGAATGCGTCTAAGCTTGTACTGGATACAGAGTCCCACCCTTAACCAGCACACTTCCGCAGAAAATTGAACTCATCCCACTGCATAGGGGTGGGTCACACTGTAGTGGGCAAAATCTTGCCTTTGGCTTGTAGATCAGCTCTTCAGGCTCTAACTATCCCTTGGCAGCCCAGGCATCTGGGTTCTGCTCTCCGTTTCTCTGGGTATTTGCCGCAGTCTTGAAGGAGGGGAATGGGCTCTAGATGACCACGTGCAACTGAGACTACTCTCCCAAGCCCCATCACACGAGGCTGCTGACCTGTTTGATATTAGTCACGGCCAAACTGGCGAGGTGTTAACATACCTCACAGGAGGTAAAACAGATGTTCCCCAGCTGCAGGATGGCAGCCAGCACTGCCCAGATGGAGGTCAGCTGATCATCTGAGAGGCCAATCACCTGCAGAGCTTGCACCAAGACCACAAACTCCCGATCATCTTGCTTCCCTGTGAGGTCGCATGCTCTGCCCTGAGAGAACCAACGAAAGTCTGTGGTTGGACCCACGGCCCTTTCACACCAGGCTCTCGCTCCAACGTCACTTCCCAGCACTAGAGAGGGGCCCAAATTGTAAAGCTCAGATCTGGGTTTCAGAGCTCAGGGGGTTAGGTTGGGCTCATCAGAAGGAGAGAGCCCATTTCAGAAACATGCCTATCCAAACTTTTGAACCCCCACAGGCCTCGGGCAGGGGTGCCGGAATGGGGGTGTCAGGGGGCCATGGCCCTCATACTATTTACCAGCCATAAGGGTGAGCGACGGGGGGGGGGGGGGAGGGGATGGAGAGGAGCGAGCAGGGGGGGAGGTCTTGGGGAGAAGGGGCGGCGTAAGGGCAGGGCCTCGGTGGCGGCACAGGGGAGACAATGCCACAGTTCGGGCACCATTGGCCCCCCCACTTTTAGGGCACTTCCACCACTACACTCTTGGCCTTGGGGTATTCAGACCTGGCATATTAGACTGGGCCTCTCTGCAGCTAGGAGCTCTCTCCCTCTCCTGACACAGCGTATTCCACACCCTGGCAAACACGACATGAGGAAACATTGCTGCTGACAGGAATTTACCCTGATGTCAATTTCCAACCCCCTAAGCTACTGCTATGGCAGACATTTGTATACGAGCAGCAGCCTTCTCCCTTCAGCCCAAATCCTTCTCCCACTGAAACCTGCCCTGCAGTCATGGTGACCTGCAATCTAACGCCACCAGAGGGAGCTCATAATTTGAATAAAGGTAGGAAGGCATGGGGGAGGAGGGGGAACCCAATTGGCTGCTTATAGTAGGCTACACTTGGCCCCAGTTTGCATTGGGTTGGGTTGAGACCATCAGAAGGAGATCTCTTGTATTTGCCCAGTGCGTCCAGTCGCTCCTCTCTCAGGTTTTAAGCTCTTTGGGGCAGGTTCTCTCTTTATCTGTGTGTATTAGCTATGTGGGGTCATACGCCGGCACCCATCGCCCTATTATCTGAATGGCAGTAGGCACATTGCAGGTGTTTCAAAACAAATTAATAAATCCCATGGAAATCAGGTTGATGCCACAAATTCAGCACAGGACACGTCAGCAGACTGAGCCAGAGCAGAAGGACTGGCTGAGCCCCTGAGGGGGACATCTCCAACGGCCCTGACTAGTCAGAAATATAGCAAGGGAAACTTTAAATAAAACCCATAAAAGGCTAAGTAATTGAATGGTAAATAAGGATTGTACTGAGTTTCTCCAATGGGAAAGCTTCTCTTCCTCTGCGGGGGGTCTGAAGATGAATCATTTTTCCTAGCACCAGCCTGGCAGCAACTTGAGGCTTCTCCAGATAAGAGGGGGTTAAATCACAGGTGATAGAATCATAAAACTGTAGGACTGGAAGGGACCTAGAGAAGTCAAGTCCAGCCCCCTGTGCTGAGGCAGGATCAAATAAGCCTAGACCATCCCTGACAGGTGTTTGTCCAACCTGTTCTTAAAAACCTCCAGCGGTGGGGATGACAAAGGCAGAATGGAACTGAAGGGGGAGTTCAGCAGCCCCGTATCAGCTGGGGTCACAACCAAGAGAGGGCGCCTCAGTACAAAGGGGAGAATGGTCCCTTCCCTCAAACTCTAAGGCTATGTCTACACTTAAAATGCTGCAGCTGCACCGCTGTAGCGCTGTCGTGTAGACACTGGCTACAGCAATGGACAGTGTTCTTCCGTCATTGGAGTGACTTCATCTCTCTCAGAAACAGTAGCTAGGTGGACGGAAGAATTTTTCCATCGACCTAGCGGTATCTACGCTGGGGCTTAGATCGGCTTAACTATGTCGTACATGGTGCGAACATTTTCACAGCCCGGAGCACTGTAGTTAGGTCAACCTAACTTTGTAGGGTAGACCCGGCCTTAGGCACATAGGTTTGTCCTATCCAATCAGACCACCGGTCTGGGACCGAGCAACACCCAACACCTGATACCTCAGAGCAAGGCAAAAAGATATCTATGTCCATTGTGAGAGGCAACATGGTCTCATCATGAGAGAACTGATCACGGTTCTGTTCCCACCTCCATCACCAAATCTTACCATCACCTTGGGCAAGTCCCTTCCCCACTCTGTGGCTTGGTTTTCCCCTCTGCAAAAATGGCTCCAATAATACCTGCCCACCTTCACACAGTGCTTTGAACTCCTGAGATGAGAGGTGGTGTAGAAGTGCTAAGCAAACATGCCCAGCAATCATGCACTGATGCAAGGAGGGCGGGGGAAAGCTCCCAATTGACCCCCAACTCTGAACTTTGGTGGATCAGATAAAGAGAGAGAGACCAAGATCCAAACTACTCCTGATTTTGCAAACCCAAAGTTTGACTGGTGAAGTTTTGCCCTTCTCCCCTAATCTCTTCCCGCACTTCTCAACAGGCCTTGCCATGTCAATTCTCACTGGGACTTTCCAGGTACATCCTTATCTCTAACTCAGGGCTTCTCAAACTTCATTGCACTGTGACCCCCTTCTGACAACAAAGTTACTACATGACTCCGGGATGGGGGCGGAGACCGAGCCCTGCTGCCTCGGGTGGGAGGAGAGGGGGCCGCAGCCCGAGCCCAGCCATCCCAGGTGGGGATGGAGTTCAGGCTTCAGCCCTGGGTCCCAGCAAGTTTAATGCTGATCCTGGCGTCCCCATTAAAATGGAGTCGCGACCCACTTTGGGGTCCTGACCCACAGTTTGAGAATCGCTGCTAGCTAACTAAAATGTAGCACCATCCCGCTTGGTTCTCCCTTCCCGGATTGCTAGGGAAAGGTCTAATAATGTCCAGTTCAAGGAGAGATCTTTTAACATGCTGTAATTGTCTGATGTGAAGCTATTGAGCATGTTGAGCCTTTAATTGCCCTAGCCTCCTAGGAACAATCAAGTCATTAAGGGTACTTGTCCCATCCTTGCTAGGAGGAAAGCTGATACTAATCTAATTATGGGTGAGGCTAGGATTGAGTCCTCAAAATGGCAGAGCTGTGTAAGGGCTGGTCTACATACAGAGAAATTGACCGGCATAGCTGTAGCAGAATAATTACTCCACTTCAGCTATGCCAGTGTAACTCCTCTGTGTGGATGTTCTGTTTATTCCAGAATAAAAGTGATTCTTTCAGAATAATTATTTTGCTATAGCTAGGCTGGTCAATTTCCCCACGTAGACAAAGTCATAGAATCATAGACTTTAAGGTCAGGAGGGACCATTATGATCCTCTAGTCTGACCTCCTGCACAACGCAGGCCACAGAATCTCACCCACCCACTCCTGTATCAAACCTCTAACCTATGTCTGAGCTATTGAAGTCCTCAAATCGTGGTTTAAAGACTTCAAGGTTCAGAGAATCCTCCAGCAAGTGACCCATGTCTTAATTAAGTCTTTAATCAGCACTGCCTTTTATTGCTTCTAAATGTACTGCCATTCAGTTTCTTCGTTTTATTCCGTGAAGGGTAAAGAGAGGCTCCCTTATAGAATCATAGAATTGAAAGGGACCTCAGGAGATCATCTAGTCCAACCCCCTGCTCAAAGCAGGACAAATCCCCAGACAGATATTTACCCCAGTTCCCTAAATGGCCCCCTTGAGGATTGAACTCACAACCCTGGGTTTAGCAGGCCAATGCTCAAACCCCTGAGCTATCCCTCCCCCCATAAAGATATACCTATTTCATAGAACTGAATGGGACCCTGAAAGGTCATTGAGTCCAGCCCCCTGCCTTCACTAGCAAGACCAATTTTGCCCCAGATCCCTAAGTGGCCCCCTCAAGGATTGAACTCTCAACCCTCATCCCTTGATCCAGCCCACATCTCCCCAATCCTTTTTAGCCCACAGAAGATTATAGGCCCAGGCAAAAGCAGGTTAACCCCATTGTAGAAAGCTGTTTTCCAGTGTTGCCAACTCTCATGATTTTGTTACTTATGAGCCTCATGATCATTATTGTTTTCCTTAAAGCCCCAGCTCCTGGAGTCAAGTGGAGATGTGATGATTCCAGCCTTCATTCTTAAAGAAAAAGTAAGTTTCTAGCCCTTGTGGCTGTGCAGAAAGCTTCAAAGCGTGACCCCAGTGGACCCTAAAGGCTCAAAAAGCAGAAGGTGAATAAAAAACACCAAAAATCTATTATTTTTACATAATCTCATGGTTTTTGTTGAGCCTGACTCATGATTTTTGAACATTTGGGGTTGGAAATACTGGTTTTCTTAGATAGGTGGCGCCATAGGGCCTCGGTGTTTAGATGACCCATATAAAAACAAGAGTCCCAATAACAGGGCTTTTTCCAAGAGGCAATGGAACCTGAATGATGGGAGAGGGAGGAGAAGTGACCAAGCCTCTCCAAACAGAAAGACACGTTCCTTGGGTCAAGAGTGAGAGGGGCCCAGACAGTGCAGAGGACAGCCAAGATCCAAACCGTAACCCTGTGCCACCTCCGGGAGGGGCAATCCAGGAGGGCAGCACAGAGCTCATCATCTTACCTGTTTCCTGTTGGGTCCCCAGCAGCAGGCTGATCAGAGACAAAAGCGCTGGTTCAACCATGTCTCTCCCTCACCTCTGGAGCAGCTTGCTCCACCCCTTCACTCACCTGGTTCAGGTAAAAGTAAGTCTCTGCCTCATGCAGGAAAAGCTTCTCTTTCTGCTCCACTGGCAGCCCTGCCAGCAGCTCATAAAACACGTGGTAGGTCCTCTCGCCACGGGCCTGAAAGGAGATCGCTCACACTGTGGGCCAAACGTCTCGCTCCACCACCCCATCGCATCAGAGCAAAGGGAAGTCAAAATTTCATCCTATAACCAGGATAGAAACAAACACCCCCCTTCACAGGGCTCCCACGGCTGGTCCTTCACACCCGAGCAGAGCAGGGGGAGAGAAAAATTAATGGAACTTTTAATAAACTTTAAGAAGCGTAAAAAGAACAGGAGTACTTGTGGCACCTTAGAGACTAACAAATTTATTAGAGCATAAGCTTTCGTGGGCTACAACCCACTTCTTCGAGCTGCTGGGGATAGAGGGAGCTCTTATTTATCCATACTCGGTTCTCCTATCCCTACTGCAAAACTGAGCCAAATAATTCCTGTTAACTTCAGTAGGCCAGATTTTCAGCTGGTATAAATCAATGTGGTTTATGGACATCCGTGGAGCTACCCTGCGTACACCAGCTGTATAGGGTTGCCAACCCTCCAGGATTGGCCTGGAGTTTCCAGGAATTAAAGAATTAATCTTTAATTAAAGATTATGTCATGTGATTAAATCTCCAGGAATACATCCAACCAAAACTGGCAACCCTAGCTGTGAACCTGGCCCAAAGGGGTTAGACCGATGTTAAGTCAGGGCACATTTTGTCCTTGTAGCTTCATCTAAGGAAAAATATACCCAAGTGGAGAATTTATTACTAATCATGCATTTCTCGTGGGAGAGAGAAAAAACACAGGGGGAAAAAAGCTTTCCAAAGAATGATAGAAACACTTTGACCAGCTTCTAGACATCTTTCTGGAGCTACTCTTGTTCCCAGATCTGTCTCCAAAGCAGTTTAACTCAACACCTGCATGCAGTGGCGGATTAATAATTTTGCCGCCCCTAGGCCGGGAAATAATTGCCGCCCTGGCCCTGCCCCGACTCCGCCCTTTTCCCGCCCCCATTCCAACCCCCTCCCCAAAGTCCCCGCCCCACTCTGCCCCCTCCCTTCCCCTATTGGATCCCTTCCCCAAATCCCCGCCCCTTCCCCCAGCGCGCGGCGTTCCCCCTCCTCCCTCCTCCCTCCCTGCCCCGCGAAACAGCTGTTTCGCGGCGCAAGCGCTGGGAGGGGAGAGAAACAGGACACGGCGGCGGGCTTTCAGAGGAGGCGGAGGTGAGCTGGAGCAGGGGGCCGGGGCGCGGAGGGGAGCTTCCACCCCTGCAAATTTGCCGCCCTAGGCCTTGTCGGCCTAGGCAATGATACGGTGCTGTCTGCATGCCAGAACATTACTTGCAACAATGTTCTGCTGCCCAGTAGGAACACAACAGTTTACATGGACTTTAGCTTAGCCCATGTGCATATGGGATGGCTTCCACCTTGGCCAACACACCAGAGACTGAACTGGGGACTTGAAGATCTAAAAACATGAGCTGCTACAGCTTGAGCTAGAGAGCCATGGCTCTCCAGCTGGACACAGTAACAACTCTCATCCTCTGGGGAGTGACAGAGGGGGACTTGTAACACACCCCTCATACATATTAGATTACAAACCCTTTCGGTTAATACTAGGGTTGTCGATTAATCACAGTTGACTCACGCGATTAATTCAAAAAAATTAATCACCATTTAAAAAATTGTGATTAATCGCAGTTTTTATCGCACTGTTAAACAATAGAATACCAATTGAAATTGATTACATATTTTGGATGTTTTTCTACATTTTCATATATATCGTATTCTGTGTTGTAATTGAAATCGAAGTATATGTTATTTAATAAATATTTGCACTGTAAAAATGATAAACAAAAGAAACAGTATTTTTCAATTCACCTTATACAAGTACAATAATACAATCTCTTTGTCATGAAAGTGCAACTTACAAATGTAGATTTTTTTTTGTTACATAACTGCACTCAAAAACAATGTAAAACTTTAGAGCTACAAGTCCACTCAGTCTTACTTCTTGTTCAGCCAATCGCTAAGACAAACAAGTTTGTTTACATTTTCAGGAGATAATGCTGCCCTCTTCTTATTTACGTCACCAGAAAGTGAGAACAGGCATTTGCATGGCACTTTTGTAGCTGGCATTGCAAGGTATTTACATGGCAGATATGCTAAACATTCGTATGTCCCTTCATGCTTCGGCCACCATTCCAGAGGACATGCTTCCATCCTGATGATGCTCATTAAAAAAATAATGAGTTAATTAAATTTGTGACTGAACTCCTTGAGGAGAATTGTATGTCTCCTGCTCTGTGTTTTACCCGCATTCTGCCATATATTTCATGTTATAGCAGTCTCGGATGATGACCCAGCACATGTTGTTCATTTTAAGAACACTTTCACTGCAGATTTGACAAAACGCAAAGAAGGTACCAATGTGAGATTTCTAAAGATAGCTACAGCACTTGACCCAAGGTTTAAGAATCTGAAGTGCCTTCCAAAGTCTGAGAGGGATGAGGTGTGTAGCATGCTTTCAGAAGTCTTAAAAGAGATTAACACGGCTACCACTCTTAAAAGAGCAACACTCCGATGTGGAAACTACAGAATCCGAACCATCAAAAAAGAAAATCAACCTTCTGCTGGTGGCATCTGACTCAGATAATTAAAATGAACATGTGTCGGTCCACATTGCTTTGGATTGTTATCGAGCAGAACCCGTCATCAGCATGGATGCATGTCCTCTGGAATGGTGGTTGAAGCATGAAGGGACATATGAATCTTTAGCACATCTGGCACATAAATATCTTGTGACACCGGCTACAACAGTGCCATGAGAACGCCTGTCCTCGCTTTCAGGTGAAATTGTAAACAAGAAACGGGCAGCATTATCTCCTGCAAATGTAAACAAATTTGTTTGTCTGAGCGACTGGCTGAACTAGAAGTGGGGGTGAGAGGACTTGCAGGCTCTAAAATTTTACATTGTTTTATTTTTGAATGCAGTTTTTTTTACATAATTTTACATTTGTAAGTTCATCTTTTATGATAAAGAGATTGCACTACAGTACTTGTATGAGATAAATAGAAAAATACTATTTCTTTTGGTTTTTTTACAGTGCAAATACTTGTAATCAAAAATAAAGTGAGCACTGTACACTTTGTATTCTGTGTTGTAACTGAAATCAATATATTGGAAAATGTAGAAAACATGCAAAAATATTTAAATAAATGGTATTCTATTATTAACAGTGCGATTAATCGCGATTAATTTTTTTAATCGTTTGACAGCCCTCGTTAATACACTAATATGGCACTATAGAAATAAACAATAGTTATGGGATTAATGCATTGTGCAGAGCCCATGTCAAACAGACAGCAGTGAGATCATTTCTTTCCTGCAGTTCTAGAAATTGTCTGGCAACGGTAACGATGGGTTTAATCAAGTCAGTCATTTAAAATCACCTAATTAGATTTGGGTTTACTGAGAACGTGCGGAAAGTGCTGTAATAGTTGGACATTTAAAAAAAAAATAACTACAGCTGAGTGAAGTGTTTGTGAGGCCTGTGATCTATCTTACCATATAAAAAAAACCAGATAGAGGGCTTGGATGGAGCAGTAGAATGGGGGCAAGGCCATCTGGGTTAGTCCATCATCTCTGGGCACCTATGCTCCCAAGGCAATAAGCTCAATAGTGTCTGAACCCAGGTCCTGATGGATATTTGTCCATTTCACAAAAGCATCACACAGTTCATCCCAGCTGGCAGCATCTGCTCAAGGGAGGCCCAGGGCTGGCCCAGCAGGGAATGCTGCAGGGCAGCAGAGTGGTGCATGGAGGGCTCCACCATAGGATTTAGCCCATGTAGGTGACACATGAGACTAACCCTAACCCAAAATTCTGCTACTGTCCACTAGGACTGAGGGTCTGCCCCTTGCCATCTGACTAGAGAAGCTGCAGGAATTCCTTGCACTTGGTAATTAACATAGACCCTAACACACAAACACAGCCTAGACATGCAGAGATTCTGACCTGTTTGGGGAAGTGGGGGTGGTTGGTTCTTACCTGAAACACAACGCGGGACTTTTCCAGAAGGTACCGGGAGATGGACGTACCCACCACGACCCCACTGTGTGTGCGAGAGAGAGGGAGAGACGGAGGGAGGGGTTCCGTGAGAGAGGACTGAGGGTTTGCTGGAGACCCAGCTATACTCTGTACAGGGGGCCAGGTAGAGGGAGTCCTTACCTAGAGATACAAATCCAAGATGCAAAATTTGGATCTGAATTTCAAAGCCCATCGACACCAAAGTTTAGGTCTTCAGAGCTGGGATCTTGGAGCAGCTCCATTATAGAGAAAGGATCCAGCTCTAGAATATGCATCTGGATCCAGGTTTAGACTGTGAACAACCTCCCCAAATTCAGGGGCACTTGGATCTCCCTTCTCTACACACAGCAAACCACAAAGATCCCCACTGAGCAATCCCCAAAATGGTCCCATGTGTAACCTGTGCATGTTCCCTAAGCATTCTCCACACGTCTGTGCTCATTGTTTCTTTGTGCTCCCTTGTCTGTCTACATCCACCCGCCGTCTCTTGTCTTGTACTTAAATTGTAAGCTCTTTGGGGCAGAGACCAGCTTTTTGTCCTGTGTTTGTACAGCACCTACCACAGTGGGGTCCTGATCCATGACTGGCTCCTACGTGCTATTGCAATAATAACAACGTGCTGTAGGGGCTGGAGTTTGGGAGAGACCTAAACATTACATGGGAGTTATGCTGTAGGGATGGTTTTATTACAGACCTTTACTTAGTAAAATATTTGCCATGTCAAAGTCATAGCTTCTAAGTTGACTCCTTCCCAGTTCCCACCACATGTACCCCAGGGCCCTCCCCAAGGAGGAGGGTCTGCAGCAGCTACCCAGCTGGCAATGCAATGGTGGAGCTTTTCTTGGAACGTGGCGACACCAATATGACTGAGCAGCATGGTAGGTGTGGATAGGTCAGGGGTTCTCACACTTCATTGCACTGCGACCCCCTTCTGACAACAAAAATTACTTCATGATCCCAGGAGGGGGGACCGAAGCCTGAGCCCGCCCGAGCCCCACTGCGTTGTCACTGGTTCGAGCGCACGATACAGCTCCAGTTAAGATTGTTCAGTCCTCTCTGCACTGCAAGACTGAGCCATGTTAGAACCTCACCAGCTTCTACTGTGTTGTAACTGGTCTCAAACATGGTAACTTGTCACGCTGAAGCAGACAGAGGTCCAGCAGATAGGGCACACTGGACTGGGAGTCAGGAGACCTGGGTTCTTGCTCTGCAACTGACCTGCTGTGTGACCCTGGGCAAGTCTGTTAATCTCTGTATGCTTCTGTTTTCCTTCCCCCCTTCTGTCTGTCTCATCTATTTGGACTGTAAGCTCTTTGGGACAGGGACTCTCTTTCCCTGGGTGTATGTACAGCACCTAGCACAATGGAGCCCTGATCTCAGTGCTATTGTAATAAGGAGAGCACAGTGGATGGGGGCTTGGTGGTTTAAATCAGGGAAATCTTGCAGGTTTCATGTGTTCTTTTGTAGACAAAACTCAAAAGCAAACCCAGGAGTGCAAACTGACCCCCCCCCCCATAGAAAGTGGGGGGGGGGAAGGAGGGCTATTGTTGCATAACCCCCCTGTACAACTCACTTCCCAGCAGATTAGCACTGGATCTGTTCCTGTGCATGCCCGGCTCATTCTCCTCCCGCTCCAGCATGCATCACTGCACAGCTGGCTAACGGCAGTGCCCTTTGACTCACTGTCTCAGGTGGACGTGCAGAAACTTCCCAAAGCGGCTCGAGTTGTCGTTGAGGATGGTTTTAGCATTCCCAAAGCTCTCCAGGATGGGCAGTACGTCACAGGGCTGGAGAGGGCGGAGGATACAAGATCTTATGTTAAACAAACCAGATAACACTGCGACATTGCCCAGAGACCAGGGGCCCATAGTGGCAGGTACCCTGCAAACATAGAACAAGGGGATGGTCCTTGTCACAAAGGGCTTTGGTCTGAAAGACATGACCAGAGACACAAGGTGAATCCAACAGCCAGCCAGGGGATACAACTCCAGGGAGCAGTAACACGATACAGAGCCTCTAGCACTAGGTCACTAGCTGAACCCAAACCTAGGCTGGCAGTGACTGATAGTTGTTCCCACCTCACTGCTGCCCAGTGACCTAAGCATGACCTAAGTTGCTTTTCAGTTGCTAAGTTCCTAACAGGTTAGGTGCCCGCTTCACAAAAACCATCTCTGCCATAACTGGGCCCTTTGCTGGCGATCTCGGTAGAGAGATGGTTCAGAAGGCTGAACGGGCCTTACAGATGGGCCTTCCAAGCCAGAGGGGAGGTGCAGCCTGGGGAAGCTTGTGCCACTTCTACCACTGCCTGTTCTGTGAACAATCGACGTAGGGTTCTAAAGCTGCCCACCAAGCACCCAAGACCAGTGAATTCACTCAGAGCCCTTATACATTCAAGGAGGTTTTCAAAGGTGCCTAAGCCCCACTGACATCACTGGGACTCCGGCTTCTTTCAAATGAGATTCCTGTGGGTCTGCACTCACGTGACCTGAATTCCAAATCGAGATTCAGGTCACGTGATCAGTGTAACTATCGATGGCTGTTGCTCATCCATGGGGAAAGTGAAGCTAGAAAATGTTCTCACTGGTTCAAGCCAGCCTTAGAGGCCAGTGCAAGGTGCCCCAGATCTTAGCAGCCTGGTGTCTGGGCCTTGGACAGCTAGATCAGCTACCTTTGACTGAAACATGTGGCCCCCAGTGCCCCACTTCATGGCGAACATGGCCAGCCACACTGATGCCAGCCACACTCCCCTCTGTCTCCACTTCCAACTTAAGAACAGACATGAACGGTGTGAGCCCCTGCTTTGCTTTTGTCTTTCAGTCCTGGTCAACTTGATGTTAGCCACTCCATGCTCACCCATTCTATCCCATGCTCTACTATTCAGTTTCTTATATTGTGCTCATCACCATAGTATCTGAGCACCTTCCTGTAGTGCCTTACACCACATGACTACAAGCACACATCATGGTGCATAGGCACCGACTCCGTGGGTGCTCCAGGGCTGGAGGGCTGGAGCACCCACGGGTGCTTAGCACCCACCAGCAGCCAGCTCCTCCCTCCTAGTGCCTCCCGCCCGCTGGCAGCCCTGTCGATCAACTCCTCCCCCTCCCTCCCAGCACCTCCCACCTGCCACGATCAGCTGTTCTGGGGCATGCAGGAGGAGCTGGGATGGAGCATGCATGGGGGAGGGGGCAGGACTGGGCAAGGCGGGGGTGGGAAGAGGAGGGGCAGAGGCAGGAAGGGATGGAGGGGGGCGGAGCCTGGGGCTGAGTGGGGCTTGAATACCCCCTGGGAAAGGAAGAAGCCAGTGCCTGTGTTGCAGTACGTAGAAACATTAGCCACCCCTTACCTGCCTGATCCCAGGGCTGTCTTGTCTCTGGTACAAGGTGCTCAGGTACTGCATGATAGCTTTGGCAGCTTCTGTTTTACCTGATCCACTGTGCCCACTGGGGGAGAAAGGGCTAAGGATCAGAGACGGCTGTAAGGATCGGACTAGCTGTGCCTAGAGTAATTAGGCAAGATCTTCAACTGGTGTGAGTCCGCATAGCTCTGCTCAAGACAATGATTTACAGCAACTCAGGATCTGGCCCATATTGTTTAAAAGTCTGTCGGCAAGTTAGAAAAATGGGCCCAAGCAAAAAACCCAGATCCAGAGCCAACCCACTTCCCTTCCCACCTCAGACTGTGGGGAAATCAGCTCAGGCTTATGATGAGCAGCTAAGTTCAAACTACACGAGCAGGTTGTGGAAGGAGAGTCCTAGCTTTTCCCAGCTCTCCATTCACACAGCTTCCCTGCGCCAGACAGTGGCCTGGTCTACACTACGACTTTAATTCAGATTTAGCTGCGTTAATCCGAATTAACCCTTCACCCGTCCACACTACAGAGCCAGTTAATTCGAGTTAAAGGGCACTTAAAATCGATTTCTGTACTCCACCTCGACGAGCGGAGTAGCGCCAAAATCGATTTTGTTAATTCGGATTAGGGTTAGTGTGGCCGCACACCACCGAATTAATGTGGTTAAATTAATGGGGTAGTGTGGCCGCACACCACCGAATTAATGTGGTTAAAAACCGAATTAATGTGCTTAGTGTGGCCGCGCACAATCGAATTTATACAACCTATTTCCCAAATTCGAATTATCTAAATTCGGATTAATCCCGTAGTGTAGACATACCCAGTGACACCACATGCGACCAAACAAACACAAGATAGATGCCTGACATCATAAAAAGAAAACTGTCATTGGCTGACGGTCTGACCATACTCTGAGGGCAAGGCATTGTAATCAAGCAACTTTTGAAGGCTGCTGGCTTTACATATTTACCTTTCCATGGATGTCGTACACACCACAGAGCCAGTCAGCACAATTTTATGTCATCCCGTTTCATCTCCCCAGACAGGACTGACCCCTTCTCTGTGGTGACTGAGCCATGTTGTGTGAAATACTACAAACAGCATTTCTTCCAGCAGCAACATATTTGCAATGGCAACCAATCAGCACAATCAGCATGGCAACATCACTCACATGAGCGGTGGAAGTGCCCTAAAAGTGGGGCAGTCACAGGAGCCCAAACCATGGCCCCGCCTCCTCCATGCCATGCCACACCCCCAAGGCAACACCCCCACACCGCCCCTTCCCTCTGAGGCCCCACCCCCCGCTTGCTCCTCTCCCCTCATCACTTGCCCTTACGGTCGGTTAAAAGTAGGAGGCCATGGCCCCCTGGCCCTCCTGTTCTGGCGGCCCTGCCAGGAAGTGCTGTGTGCCGGGGTGATTGTTTCAAAAGTGACACTGACAAATGTCATCATGCATAGCCAATTGTGAGTGGGCAGGTCTCCCACTAGCTCAGAGGCAGCTGGAGATGCCCCAAGAGGGCAAGACTGTTTGTTAGGAACATAGGACATGCCAGACTGGATCAGATTCAAAGTCCGTCTGTCCGACAGTGACCAGCACCAGATTCTTTAGAGGAAGGTGTGAGAACCCACAGTGGGCAGATGTGGGATAATCTACTTCCCAAAGTAGGTCTCACCCTGGTCACCCGGTTAGAGATTGGCTCAACCCCTGAAGCATGAGGTTTAACATCCTTTCCAGCGTTATCATTAGTTATAACCACCCTGGATATTCTCAGTATCCATATTAGTGTCCAACCCCTTCTAACTCTTGCTAAGCTCTTAGCCTCAATTACTTCCTGAGGCAATAAATTCCATAGTTTAAACTACACATGGAGTGAAAATATTTCATTTTACCAGTTTTGAACTTTCCGCCATTTCATGTCTTTGAAAGTTCCCTGTTCTTGTGCTGTGCAGCATGGAGAACACAAGTTCCCGATCTACCTTCTCCAGACCATTCATTATTTCATAGGCTTATGCCCCCTCTTATTCATCTCCTTTCTAAGGTAACCATCCCAATCTTTCCCGTCTCTCGTCACGAGAGTGTTTCCAGGCCACTGATTGTTCTTCTCACCTTTCTCTGAACCCTCCCACACACTGCTCCAAGTTTCTGTAATGCACTTTCTAAGATGGGGTGAGCAGTACTGTGCAGAGTATCCAAATAATACATTTCCATTTTTATAGACCAAGAAATCTTTGCAGAGGGGGAGCTGAACCTCAAGTGATAAGCAATTGAATCAAGTGATTGTGTACAGTATTACTGTATTATAAAAGTGTATAGTGAGATCTCTTCTGAAAGCTAATGGCACACTGGTGGCTAATAATCCTTCTGAAATGTATGTATTTTTATGAGGAAATATGGATATTTAATGATATTAGGCTTTAAATTCTGTGACCAAACAGGGAGAAACAGGATTCGCTCCCAGGCAGGAGGGAAGGCAGCTATCTACCTGTCTCCAATGAAATATAAGCCAGATAAGACCAAAAACAGTAGAAGCCCCATTTACACAGAAATCAGCTAGGGGATGGGAAGTCCACGGGGAGAGAAGAACAGCATGAGGCCATCTTGCTTCTTGAAACAAGGTCATTGAACTTTGGAAGATATAAGCAAGGACAGAAGACATCTTTGGTATCCATCACTAGACAGGCACAAGGGGACAGAGCTCTTGCAAACTGGGATAGATGGTTCCTTCAACCAAGTTGGGGTTGAAGTATCTGTGAACTGAATATAGGTGAGAAAAAACATCTTGAATAAAGCCAATCCCTTGCTAGATTAAGTTTTAGACTTCTAGAAGCATGTCTTCACTTTTATTTGCTTGTAACTCTAACTTTATTTCTTGTACTTGACATCACTTAACCTATGTGCTATTGTTAATACATTTATTTTATTTTTTACTATAAATAACTCAGTACCGTATTTGCAGGGAAAGGTGAATAAGCTGTGATGTGCTTTTGTCTCTTTAAAGGAGTAATGAACCTTATTATTTCTCTGAACTGTCCTGGAGAGGGCTGGGCATTGCAGAGCACATGGTTTTGGGGAAATTTGGGACTGGGCATGTGGTAGGGTCACCTTTCAGGTTGTAACAAAGCCTGGTGGAAGCCAGGATGTGGGGGCTGTAGACAGGCTGCTGGGGTCAGAGCTGCTAAACCAGGGCTGTCTCGCACACACACACACACACTCAGGGTGTGACCTGCATGCTTGTGGGATGGCTGTGAGTGTCCCGGGCTGGGAGCTATAGCAGTAAAGCATTGTAAGGCACCCTGGGTTGCAGGGCAAATGCTGACACAACCCCTTGCTGGTCTGGATTGCATCCCCCAAGGTGTAACAGTGACAGCTGCAGATTTTGCTACCTCCCTGCTCAACCCCCTTTCCAGATCATTAATAAATACATTAAAGAACACAGGGCCTACTCTAGAACCTTGAGGTCCCCACTGTTAACTTGGTGCCATGATGAAAATTCATCATTTAAACTTACTCTCTGCTTTCTGTATCCTAGCCAGTTTTTGATCCAAGGCAATACTTTGCCTTAGAACATAATTTCTTAGCTTCTTTAGTAGCCTCTTGTATGGAATCTTGTACAAGGCCTTATAGAATTCTAAGAGATTAGTGAGGCATGATTTTCCTTTGCAAAATCTGGCTAGTTAAACCTTATTATATCACGATCTTCCAGGTGTTTTGCTGTTCTGTTTTTATAGATTCAATCATTTTGCCAGGCACAGATCTAAGACTTACTGGTCTATAATTCCCTGGATCACCCAGAGAGTCTTGTTAAAATATGCATACCGCATGTGCTACTTTTCAATCCTCTGGAACAGTTGTTTCAATGGGGCAGAAACTTGAAGAGAGAGGAGGAATCTCAGCCCCACACAATGTCCTCACTTCCTACCTGATGACGATGCACTGCTCTTGCTCTGAAGTCTGGGACAGAGTGTAGGCCATTTCCGCAATGGCAAAGATGTGTCTAGATGAACGGAAAAAAAAATTCCATTTGTTACTTTGGCCCTGATTTCCAACCTGCACAAACACAGCACCGCGGGTTAGTTAGTGGATATCTGCACTGAAGGTGAGCCTGTAACAGAATCCCAGATCCGAGAGTCATGGCTAGAGCCAGTGTTAGCCCACTGGGGGCCGTAAACAGGAATATTTTTTGTCCCCTCCTGCCCCCCACAATACTAAAACAGGCACGTTCTTATAATAAAAAGGGAATAGGGGGCCCCATTGAGCTGCTCGGGGCCCTAAGCAATTGCTTAGTCTGCTTATGCCTCTGGCCATGGCAGCATATGTATAGCTGGGCATGGGAGGGCAAATCTCTCACTGCTGCAGCTCCGCTAGTAATAGCCACCTTGGGAGCCCTAGTGTGAATAAGGCTCCTGTAGCCAACAGCTTGTAGACTCAATCTGAGCAAGTTAAACAAACCAGTGGCCACAGGAGCCTCATCCAGACTAGGGCTCCCAATGTTGCTAGCTCCAGCAGAGCTGCACTGGTGTTAGCAATGGTGGGATGCTACTGCCAAAATCCCTAGGGATGGCCACAGTCTCTGTGGTCATCAGCAGGGATTGAACCTGGGACCTTCAGCTAAGCTGAAGGAAAAACTAGAAGAGGGAAGCTGTTACAGTAGTCGCTGGATCCAGCAACTAGACAAAAGCATCTGCACAAAAGGCCTGATTCAAAACCTACTGAAATCAAGGGGAGCCTTTCCCATTTACTGCAACGGCTTTTGGACCAGGTCGTAAGCCAGCGTTTTACCTGAGGATCCATGAACTTTGGTGGTTCGGAGCTGGATGCAGAACCAAACATCACAGCTGGGTCTTATCACTAGCATGGGCTAAACACTCTCCAGCCTGGTTGGAAGTGAAGATGTTCTCAACATTGTGGCTCAGCTGGGCCAGGCAGTGCTTGGATATGTAAGTGCTGAGTATCATTATAGCGCTACACAGGGAGGGACATTTGTCAGGCTAGGGGAGATTTCAATAAACTTCTCTTGTTTCAGTCTCTGGCATCTTAATCCCTCAGAGTGTTACTGCAAGGGGAAGAGGGAGGTTTGATTAGGGTTACAGACTCTGAAGTGAAGTCCTTTTCAGTCTCTCTCTCATTAGAAGAGATGAGCCCAATGGCACAGCTCAGGTCTCAGTCCAAGCTTTTCCGACACTCAGTGGTGTTTGCATCAGGCCCACTTTTTCTCCTCAGGTGGAAATCGTTAACAAATAAAACATGGCATATGGCACCTACAGCAACAATATCAGAGTGCCATACAAGTACCCCTGTGCTGGATGTATCATACACTTCACCCTGCACCAGTCCTACTCCAGAGATGATCTTTGGCCAAGTGAAATGGTCCTGGGAGCCCAGAGCAACACAGGACTCTGCAGGTTAAGAATAATGAACAGACCTAGTTGTGAAGAAACAAGCATACATACGGGGCATTTTTGGAGAGCGTCCCCTGCTGGTACTGGGTCACCACATCTTCCAAGTAGAGATTGAGGGGCTTGAAAGGATTCACAGAGACCAAGATTTGCCCAATGTAGGTCTAGGAGGGGGAAAATAAAGTTTGGTTTTATTATATCCACTGGATGATTAGAGATTTCTGGATGGGATCTGGAATTAACTGGGAAGGCCTTGAATATATATTGCATAACCAAAACAAAAATTAAATCAGCTTTAAAGCAACATTTAAGAATCTGATTTAAACTTCTGGAAGCCAAAATCATTCTGGGCAGAGCTGAGCTTGACTGTTTTGATTCGCAAAGGGGCTTAGTTAATTTGGGGGGCATGTTCTTCATATTCACACACTTCCTCTGAGCTCCATTTCAGTACCAAAGTGAAACTTGGCCAAAGCCAACATGTTCTGCATAGTTTGAGGCCAAAACCATAAATCTTATTTGGCATTCTAGGGATGAGAAGGATGGGTGTTCCCTTCTAACTTAGCCAAGCCTGAAACTGGAGCCAGGTGTTCAAAGAACACTCAAAATCAAGGGAAACTGAAGGCTTTCCAGGCTGCATCACAAACATTTCACACTGCCCCAGTTCTGGGTTCAAGGCAATGATCATCCTCTCTCACCCCATTATGCCTGGCCATTCAAAGGGTCTTAGAGCAGTGGGTAAATGCCTGTGCCAAATAGATTACAATACCAAAGCACAGTGGGGTGAGATTCCAGAGTTAAGGAGTGCCTACTCTGCAAACATTCTTGGATTCCACACTTCTTCTCTGTCCACTTATTGGCTTCATTTACCACTGAGATGGTTTCTCTGGCTTCAGCCTTCCAGACTCCCCACTAGGGGACCAGCAAATCCAGATGGCTTCTGCCTCTGCAGCAGCTATAAAGATTCTGCTATCAGAGCCCTCAGTTGTGCTGCTGATAGGCAAAGCAGAGCAGACTCCAGGTCACTCTCCTTCCTGTAGCTGCACTGGCTGTGCTAGGCTAACAAGAGTAAGGTCTTATCTTTGCCAGAAAAGCGAACTGATAGGTCTTGTGTGAAAGACATATAAGGAGCAGATCTGTTGTGCCAGTTTTACCTAGTCACTTATCTAACCACAACCACATTCGCTCTATGCTCCCCTGTCTGGATTGCATACAGCAGAAACACATACACACACCCTCTGGTTTTCTATTGGGTGTGCATAGAGTGATGGCAATTGGTACAGGGGTTAACAACGACCATGCAGCTATGTGGGAGCTGCTGTGATAGGATCCATTACCTAGGTGCATTTGGTGCCTCAGTTGTATCCTGCACTGGCTGTGGGGAGAGAGACAGTCTAGTGCTGACTTTGAGACTGGCCATGCTGACCATAGTGGGAGCAGGTAACAACTGTTTTGTGAGGTTTGGGGAGGGGGATCTGGGGCTACACGAGGAACGAGAGAGGGGTCCCATGCTGGACAGATACAGCAGGTGAAACCCCGGTGACGCCAACATCTCATCATTACTGGGAAACGTTGGGACCCTGGGGACTGTACTCCGCTAGGGCTGGATGGGGCAAGGGAAACCCCACCCTCGGATTCCTTGTCCCACATGAATAAGAATTAAAAAACCTAGCAGCCATACGTAAATGAAATTGCGATGGAATCTCTTCTTCAGACACAGAAGGACTGAGCTCTCACAGACCTCCCTAGAAACACAAGACGCGAGCCGTCAGCCAACTTCATCCAAGGACCTCACTCATGTATTATAGTCTGTTGGTCGTCTGAGGGATGCTGCAAGATGGGGAACAGATGCAGCATCCATTGATTTTATACGGTAGGCCCAGAATATGGCAGGCACAAGCAGGGCCAGCCCAAGCTGCTTTGTTACCCACGATGGAAAATGTTTTCAGCCACCCTGAACAGACGAGCAAACAAAGAAAAAAAACCCCACCCCCATTTGGTGCCCCCAGAAGTTGGCGCCCAGGGTGACTGCCCTCATCGCCCGCCCCTGCAGTCAGGATTGTCCGGTGGGTGGGTGTATAAGAGAGAGAGGGAGAGAACACTGCCGGGATGGACTGTGACCTATCCATGTCTGCGCGATTGGGCTAGCCCCTGCTGTCTGCAACCTAGAGGATATCAGCTACGCAACCATGTGGATTTCATCAGTTATTACTGGTTTTAGCAATGCTAAAGCTTGCCAGGGCCTGTGTGCAGAACTCCCATGGGCGTTCCTGTGTCAGCTAGGGTAACGATCCCAGTGATACAAGACATGTTAGAGAGCCTGAGCCTGCTGCAGCTGGTCAATGGGAGGTTTGCCACTGATTTCAGTGCGAGTAGGATCAGGCCATTAGATAGATGCTCTGTGTCTCGTCCCACGGATTCTCCTTTTCCACCACATACATCACAACAGAACAGTGCGCTCTTTGTTTCTGGCTATTTTACCAGATAGTGGCCTAGTAGTTAGAACAAGGACTCTATTCCACCTCTACCATTTGCTCTCAGCCTGGTATTAAGAAAGTTACTTCAGCTCTCTGGGCCTCTGTTTCCTAATCTGTAAAATTCACTGATCCTTGAAAACCCATTTCAGGACAGGGCGCGTCTTACAGTGTAGAAGGGGTTCCCTGTCTGCACCTCCAAGGGGGTCGGATAGCCATTACAAACCTCTCTTTCTCTGGTGTTCCTCCCTGGAGATAGAGCGAGCAATGTGTACTCTGCCTATGCACAGAGGAGTTTGGGGAGGGACTGCACAATAATGCCATGATTCCCCTTACACCAGCGCAATTCCCCACCCACTCCAGTGCAGGCGTGGGCCTAAATAGGACAATTCAGCCCTTCCTCTGGTTTAAAGGGCCATCAGTCCCTCACGGTCATGAGCATCGAAGCCACTCCATTTTTCAGAGCTATAGCTGATGTTCTACTGTTCACCTTCTCCTGAGCCAACTACGGTGACCAGACAGCAAGTGTGAAAAATCGGGACAGGGGGCGGGGGGTAATAGGAGCCTATATAAGAAAAAGACCCAAAAATCGGGACTGTCCCTATAAAATCGGGACATCTGGTCACCCTAGAGCCAACAGTGTCTTTGATGGGTAATAAATAAGCCCCAGCCACTTCCTGCTATCCACAGAACATCACTGACATACTTACTCCAGTCTGGACAGATCTTCAACCTCCTCAAGCTTCACTGAGTGGTTTTCATCCAGGTACACCTGAAATGTATGGGAGAAATGGCTATGAATTGCGTGCAGGTTGACAGCACCCTAAAGCTTACGTGCCTATTGCAGAATATACCTGTTTCCATGTCATGTCCACCTCAAGGATATCCTCAGTGACATCTTCTGCCTCCCACCTTTCTCTCAATGTCTTCGGCCTGTGGGTCTTGACCAGATCCTGGTCCTTATACATGGCCCATTTGCTGAGGTTCTCAATGGTGAGTCGCGGGAGCAGCATTTCAGAGTTCAGCCATGCCGTAGGATCACACCCTAGAGTTCGCCGCTGAGTCCAGTGCACCTGGGCTGGGGCTTCAGACCCAGCATGTTGGATGAGATTTGCAGCCTCTTTGTCAACATCTCCCTCAAAGTAAGAAGCCATCAGATCCTCTGAGCCCTCTCCTTCCTCCTTTGGAAGGAAGTCCTGCTCATACCGATAGTTTCCAGCTGCCTCCGGGAAGAGTGGAGGTTTAGTGGCCTGGTATGGTGACTGCCCTCTTTGCCCCTTTGCGAGGAACTGAGATTTGGATACATCTTTCCCTTCAGACGTCTTTATCCCTTGGGATGAGGAGCTCAAAAGCCTAGTCACTCTGTACTGAGTTGCAAGGCATTTTGCTTGACTCAGATCACCTGGCATTGACGGATTAATTTCATCGTTGTGGGGAAGCCCTTGACTGGTCCTCTGACAGGTTTGCTCCTTCGAGAGGTCATGTTTGAACTTGCAGCCCGGCTGCACAGACATCACTGCTTTCCTGCTAGGTACATCTATTGACTGTGGCTGTGATTCACTATTCCCGGAAGAAACACCTCTTGTCTTCACCATGTGATGGACCCTGGGGAACACGATGGCGAATTTGGCATCAGTGACACTGTTCTTCTCCTTAGCCGGTCCGTCCAGATTTAGCAATTGCAGAGAGGAGCTAGCTTCATTAAGGGGAGAATCGCATGAAGCCAACTGGGCTTCTTCCAGCTCCTCTGCCACCTCAGTAAGGGGATGATCACATTCTAGCAATGGCTGAGAAGAGCTTTCGCTACTCAACTCCCTCTTTCTCTGTTCTCCCGCTGGGCCAGGGGAGGCTCTGACCTGTCTATTGATTAGTCCAGTGGTGCTAACAATCCTGATCGCCATTCTTCTTCTGAATCCAAATGACTTGCTGCTCCTCTTCCCAAACTTCTTCAGGAGCCAGCCTGAGATACCAACTGCACGCATCACACTCAAAAAACGATCTTTCAGGCTTGCTTTCTTGGGAGGCTTTTGGCTGAGCCAGCCGGTTACTTTTCTAAATGCCGAAAGGGTGAAGCCCTTTTGCTTCAGCACTCGCTCTTTTTCAGCAGGTGCCTCTTCAACCACTTTCTCCTCCGCTATCTCTTCTCTTACTACTAGAGTCTGACACGAAGCGTGTTTGACGTTTCCAATTACTTTCCCAATCTTCTCTCTCTTGTCAAGATGCTGCTTATCAACAGATAGATTTTTAGTGCTAGAGGAGGAGCTTGAAACACTGGAGAGACTTAATCTTGGCTCTCCAAGATCCTTAGCTATATTGGAGTCCCTAAGTGCCTTATAGGTTTTTGTAGCACTCTTTTTAGAAGGGATCTTTTGAACCTTCTCCAGGTCAGAGCTAGTTTCTGCTGCCTTCTGGAAAGGACTCTGTTTACTTCTTGCCAACAGTTTGGCCTGGGCAACTTTATGATTGTTTTTCAGATTCAGGACAATCTGGGATTGCATAGTGCGAGGTCTGCACTTCTTTGCAAGTACAACCACTGAATCCACCCTCCTGTTGATGTCTGAAGAAGAACTAACCTGATGTACGTGTTCTAACTCTTCACCTTGCTTTATTGTCTCAGGCTTCTGGGATTTCTTTTTTGGCATTTGCTGTGTGGGCCACGCAGGGCCATCTCTCGCCATCCTGCCGTTGTCATTCATATTCCCTTCCCAGCTGTTTCGCGGAGGGCCTTTGCTCAAGCCCATGTTAAGGAGCTTTGCTTTGACAGTGCTAGGCAGCGGTTTCCTTCTTGGTCTCTCTCGCTTGTTGTCGTTGATTCCTTCAACCCCATCCTCCTGGCTTTCAGATTTAGCTTGCTCATCTTCAGACATTTCTTCACTGTTGTCTTTTTCCACCAGGTTTTCCTGTTCTTCTTCATCACTCTCGTTTTCTCCCTTCACTGGGCACTTGACTTCATCCTCTGAAGCCCCTGCACTATAATCTTCTTCAGTGCTATCACTTAGAGTAGATTTTCTTTGCTTGGAGACTTTATCCTGTTCCTTCATTTTCCCATCTGCCTCAGACTCTTCTGAGACAGTTTCTTCATCTTCAGATTCTTGCCTGTTGTCCATCATCTCCTGTTCTCTTTCACTTTCCCTGGTTGCTTTGTTACTTCCATCATGAGACTCTTGGCAGCCTTTTCCTTTGGACGGAAGCCAATTTTCCTGTGTAGTTTTTTCCTCAATAGAGAGTTCTTCTTCCAAAGAGCTTCTCCTGTCTTCGCTGATTTGGGTGTTGTCATCATCAGTCTCTCTCTTTCTTCTTGCTTGGCTACGACTGGCTTCATCTCTAGAGCCAAAACAAGACCCATCATCTGAGCTTTCCAGGCTCTTTCCTTCCTCACTTGCACTGGAAATAGTCCTGGCTGATTTTCTAACTTGTTTCTTCTTCTGTCCATCACCATCACCCCCACACTTCACTGCCTTAGATCTGAGCTCCAGATTGCCCTGGAGCTGGGAACCTGACTTTCTGATGGTGGTTGCTTTGGAGACATGCTTCTTATTGTATTTTTTCCCAGCACTGACACGACTATCAGTCTGAGGCAACTCACGTTTTTGAGAGGAGCCCTCAGTACTTCCCACTGTGAAGGACTTTACAGACTCAGTCTCAATGGCCATTTCACTCACACTCAGGTGCTCCCTGCGCTTCCTTTTAAAAGTACGTTTCTTGCAGCCTTCAATGGCCTTTACTTCATTGCAAACACTGGCCTTGCTTCCTTGGCCTGATCTCAGATCCTGTTGCTTGGAGCCTCTTACTTTTTTCTTCTCCTTGGATATTAATTGTTCTCCATGTTTTCCACCAGAACCAACTTCTCTTTTGTCCTTGCCCTTGGAGGTTCTCTCCCTTTTGGCTTGCTTTTTGTGACCATACTCTTTGCCTCCCTTAATCCTTGCCTCCCTCTGGCTCTTTGATGTGCTCTGTACAGATGTGACTAAAGGAACTGTCTCTTTTTCAGAAGAGGGTTCTTCAGATGTAGCTTGGACATTGCTCTTTTCTTTCCTCGGTCTCCCACCTTGGACCATGGAATCCTCAGGAGGGCTCTTTTTCTCACAGCCAGCAGCTCTCTCCTTACCAGCTTTCTTTGCCCCAGCAGCTTTGTCCTGAGTCTTAGATCTGGAGGGTGCCATCACGCCAGTATTCAGAAGTGCATCATCATTTATTGAAGTTCACCTACAAAAAGAAACACACGCTGCTTCTACTGTACAACTTTGCAACTGCTGCTGCTACAAATAGACAAGTGAAGAGGCTGGATCCTGCATAACCATAATCATGTGACTTCTACAGGATTTACTCACACATCTATTAGACTGAAGAACCAGATCCATAATGCTGAGGGGCATTAGTTGTCACTGTTTAAATCACTCAGTATATCCTCTATTTGGTTTTCTCATTAATCCTCCTCAGATTTGGGACACAGACTCCTTTTCCTGAACCCCACCACTTACAAACAACTACAACAATTTTCAGCTTCAAGATCTAGTATGCCTATTCCACACATAGGCCTGATCATTGTGCATGGTTAATAAAGCTTAGAGGTAGCATCGTGTTATGGCTAAAGCAAGAAGGGCCATTTTATTTTTATTTTTCCTTCTCCATTAACCCTCTGTGCCGAATACATCGTATTAACTACATCAGAGGAATGAAAGGTGAATGGAGAACTCACCTTCCCGGGTGACCATGTACCAGAATGAGCCACACTTTGGTTTTTGGGCTGAAAATATAGGATCCACTTGGTCCTACTGTGGAGAACTACAAGGACTGAAACTGAAGCACTTGCAAAACAGAGATAAAATGTATCTGACCCAACCTCTATAAACCAAGTTGATATGAAGTGCCAGATTATCTGCCCAAAATATAGGTACAGTTTTTATGTTTTATAATTTGCTATTATTCTTCCCCCTTTTGTTCCAACATTTCTTTGTTAATGGGTAAACAGCAGCTGGGTAAATAATAGTTAAGGGTAACTAATGGCATGGGTAAATAGTAGTAACTTATGCAGCAATTTTCAGTTTTATTTTCTGCAGTGGAACAGAGACACAATATCTAATGGATCAGGCTCAAGATTTGACTTACCCCAGAACTAGAGATTAGCCTGAGCTGCAACAATTTGGATCCAGAACCAAACTTTCACAGCCAAGATTAAGTCTGTCCTGGCTGGCTCAGTTGGAGTCTTATTAGAGAGAAGGTATAAAAGGGAAATAGGTAGAAGACATAAGGTAGGGGAGGAAATTGACACACTAGCGAGCGGGGAGGAGGGGAATAGCGGATTGCTCAGATCACAGCCATGGAAGAGCTGATGCCGCCTGGTTCCCTCTCATTGTCTGGCTGGTCAGAACATCTTTCAGGAGCAGAAAAAATAAGTCCCAATGGTTGCAATATACATTCGGAAGTCCCAACATACAACAGTGAGGCCCATGGTGCCCCTTGCCACACTTGATCAAGTTGCTAAGTACTCTCCAGGAAAGCCATATCCAAAAGTGAGGGCAGCCTGGCCCCATCAAAAGTGATAAATTAAAACAAGTTTCCAATGGCCTATATGCCCAGTTCCTTTCATCTAGTACATTCAGGTTGTAAAGAATGTAAACTAATATGTGGATTTGCCCTGACTCCCCTGTCTGTTGGAGAATCTCATCTCTCCCCTTTTCAGTTATGAAGACCCTTTACTCTCCAATTCAATCTGCTGTTGCCAAACAGAGGAAAATACCACCTAGGCTCCAGACTCCAGCCCTATTAATTTCCTCCTTCCCATTTGTTTTAAGGAGGTGTTAATGGCCGAGCCTGGTTTTAATCCTCCACATGCTAAACGCTCCAAGGCAGCCAGATAAGACCAAAAACCATTCAGCTAACTAAGGACATAACTAGGAAGAACCTGGTAGAAGGGAGGAAGGGAAAATTGAGGGTGAATATCAGAGAAAATGTCTAGCAGTGAGATCTACCATGCTGTGGCATTGTCTCCAAAGAGCCCCATTGCTTGGGACATTTAAAACTAGTTTACATAAAGCAGTAGGGCATGATGTGTGCAGAACAATCCAGCAATCAGCGGATGGAGACGATCATATACATTTTTCTCTCTCTGTAATTAACTTCTCTTCTCTGCACTGGCCTCCACCAGTCAGTCTCCTCCCTCTTTGTTCTCAGAGACCATCTTTAATGGCTCAGTAGATTTGTGCAGGGGGAAGGGAAACTTCTGCTGATAAGTTTCCTGCAAACTTCTAGACAACAAAGACCTATGAGTCAGGAGTCTGGAGTTAACCCTCAGCTTCACTCAAGCCCCACAGAGCTGTTTGCTAAGAGCTTGCATTGATTGTCTGGGGAGCCTCTACATCAGTGGTTCTCAACCTATGAACCATTGTGGGCCACATTTGCAGCTGTCTGTGTGTTGTGTGGGCTGCCTCCACACAATATAGATACTACCTGTATGGCCCTGAGGATGTCACATGGGCCGCAGCTGCGTGCTGATTGGGCCCCAGGTTGAGAACCACTGCTCTGCATTAAGTGCATTGCTGGGAAATCAATGACATGAACAGCTGGTTGTTTCACTTGTCCTTAGGTCCCACATAGCAGCACTTGTTTTTGGTATTTCCACACACAAATGCACCTGACAGCCATGGCTGTACCATTGCATTCTGAGGCCTGGTCTACACTAGGCGTTTATGTTGAATTTAGCACCGTTAAATCGAATTAACCCTGCACCCGTCCACACCACGAGGCTATTTAGTTCGACATAGAGCTCTCTTTAAATCGATTTCTGTAATCCTCCCCAACGAGAGGAGTAGCGCTAAATTCGAAATGGCCATATCGAATTAGGCTAGGTGTGGATGGAAATCGACGCTAATAGCTCCGGGAGCTATCCCACAGTGCAACACTCTGTTGACGCTCTGGACAGCAGTCCGAGCTCGGATGCTCTGACCAGCCACACCCCGGGAAAATTTGAATTCCTTTTCCTGTCTGGGCAGTTTGAATCGCAGTTTCTGTTTGGACACCATGGCGAGCTCAGCAGCAGTGGCAAAGATGCAGAGCTCTCCAGCAGAGATGGCCGTGCAATCCCAGACTAGAAAGAGGGCCCCAGCATGGACTGATCGGGAAGTCTTGGATCTCATCGCAGTGTGGGGAGATGAGTCCGTGCTTGCCGAGCTGCGCTCCAAAAGACGGAATGCAAAGATCTACGAGAAGATCTCTAAAGCCATGGCAGAGAGAGGATACAGCCGAGATGCAACGCAGTGCCGCGTGAAAATCAAGGAGCTGAGACAAGGCTACCAAAAAACCAAAGAGGCAAACGGACGCTCCGGATCCCAGCCCCACACATCCCGTTTCTACGAGGCACTGCATTCCATCCTAGGTGCGGCCGCCACCACTACCCCACCACTGACCGTGGACTCTGAGGATGGGATATTGTCCGCGGCCGGTTCCTCCGACATGTTAGCGGACGGGGAAGATGAAGAAGGAGATGAGGAGGACGAGGCAGTCGACAGCGCTGGCACCGCTGATTTCCCCGACAGCCAGGAGCTCTTCATCACCCTCACAGAGATCCCCTACGAACCATCCCCCACCGTTACCCCAGACACAGATTCAGGGGAAGGATCAAGCAGTAAGTGTTTTAAATATCTTAACATTTATTTATAACAGAACTTGCATATTTTAAATATTAACAATAGCTAAAGTGCTTTCAAGTATGTAAACTTTTATTTATAACAGAACAGGAAGATTTGAAATATTAACAATGGGTAAAGTGCTTCTAAACATGTAAACAGGAAAGTGCAACAAAAAGGGGAATCTGAACAAAGGGTTTCATGATTACTGTGTCTTTGGCCGCTTCAATGTATAGTCCGAACCATTTTAAGAAAATTCAACAATGTCCGCTTCACGATTACACTGCCCAAGACGCTCCACTCTTTTGTCCCTCCAAGGGCACCTAACCCAAAAACTGGTCGATGTGTCCGGGGATAGAGGCGAGATCCCCCGGGGAGAACTCCTCATAGGCCTCCTGCAGGTGTCTTTCCAGCCTAATTATCAGGTTCTTTGGCAGGGAGAGCTTATTAGGCCCCCCGTGGTATGACACGTTTCCCTGCCACAACGCCAGCAGGTATTCGGGGATCATGGCCTTGCACAGCATAGCAGCAAATGGCCCCGGTTTCTGCAGGCTGTCCCGCAGCATCCTCTCCTTCTGGCTCTCCGAGACCCTCAGGAGGGTGATGTCTGGCATGACGCCCTGCTTTGAATTAGGTAGGGGACAGTTAGTATTGGGACTGCTTGCCCGTTCCTTTACAGAACTGCAACCGCCGGTTTACAGCCACGCGGTTTACAGCCGCGAGGGGCTGGGACAGGGGCAGAGTTCATGCTTGCAGGATTGCTGCCAGCAGAGACTCGCATTGCTTTCTATGTGAAAGGAGGCCAGTGCCACTCTTAAAGTTTTAAGCAGCCACAAGTCTACGGCTTACCATGTTTGCCAGCTAGACAAAGTCCGGTGTCCTGCCCCGCTCCTCAGCTCGCCACAGCAAGACCGCAGGCACTGTAGGCGAGGGCCGAAAATTCGACCTTGTCCTCAGTGCGCGTGTGATAGGTGCTCTGCATGGTCTTGTTCACAGAGAAAGACTATGTTCTCTGTTCACAGATACATTGATCTGTCTCAGGAATTCACTCCCTTTTTCCAATTCCCACAGCCACATCTGCCCAGAGGCTAGCGCACATTAGGAGGAGGAAGAAGAGGACACGGGAAGACATGTTTGCTGAACTAATGGGATGCTCCCGAGCACAGGCAGCCCAGCAGACACAGTGGAGGGAGAACTTGTCCCAAATGCACCGGGCAAACATGGAACGGGAGGAGAGGTGGCGACAGGAGGACCAGCAGGCGACTCAAACGCTGCTTGGACTAATGAGGGAGCAAACGGACACGCTCCGCCGCCTTGTGGATGTTCTGCAGGACCGGAGGCAGGAGGAGAGAGCCCCGCTGCAGTCTCTCTCTAACCGCCCTGCCCCGCCACCAAGTCCCATACCCCCCTCACCCAAAGTCCAAACACGGAGGGGCGGCAGGGGCCGTGAAAACTTTCACTCCACCCCAGCGGACAGCTATAGCAGTAGAAGGCTCTCATTCCCCAAAATCTGAAAAGTCCTTTCCTACCCGCCTCAC